ACAGGATGCTGAAGAAGCCCTGCAGGGTTGTTTTGAGACCACAGATTGGATGACTCTCTGCCAAGGATATGAAGAGGACATCAATGCCATGACTGGATGTGTCACTGACTATATAAACTTCTGCGTGGACAACATCATACCCACCAGAACAGTGAGATGCTTTGCTAATAACAAACCCTGGATCACCAGTGAACTGAAGAATCTGCTAAATGAGGAAAAAAAGAGCCTTCAAGTAGGGAGACAGGGAATTATTGAGGAGTATACAGAAGCAACTGAAGATCAAGATCAGAAACAGCAAGGAGGCATACAGGAAGAAGCTGGAGAACAAACTACAGAGGAACAATATCAGAGATGTCTGGTCAGGGATGAAGAAGATCACAGGCTTCAAGCAGAGGAAGGATTGCACAGATGGCAGCCTGGACACAGCCAATGAACTGAACAAGTTCTTCAATAGGTTCAGTTCAGGAACAAACCCAGCATCCTCCTCGCCTGTCCCCAGCCAATCAGACATCCCATCCTTTCTGATCCAACATTTTCCTGTCACACACCAGCTCTTTTGTCCGCAGTCATGGACTCTTCTAGTTCTATAAATCTGTCTTCAACCAAGTCAGGAGATGCTGCTGCCCCAGTTACTTCCCCCTCCCACCTATCTGTCTCTAGAAGTCAGGTGAAGAGGCAGCTGGAGAGACTGAACAGGAACAAGGCTGCAGGTCCAGATGGTGTCAGCCCCAGAGTACTGAAGGCCTGTGCAGAGCAGCTCTGTGGGATTCTGCAGCACCTCTTCAACCTCAGCCTGGCCCAGGAGAAGGTTCCAGTCCTGTGGAAGGCATCCTGCCTTGTTCCAGTTCCAAAGAAAACTCGCCCATCAGTCAATGACGACTACAGACCAGTTGCCCTGACATCCCACATCATGAAGGTCCTGGAGAGACTCCTGTTGATCCACCTGAATAAGCAAACTAGAACATATCAGGGCCCAGCAGTTTGCTTATAGTCATGGAGTTGGAGTTGAAGATGCCATCATCCAGCTGCTTCAACCAACCCATCTGGACAAAGCAGGCAGCACTGTGAGGGTCATGTTCTTTGATTTCTCCAGTGCATTTAACACAATCCAGCCTGATGTACTTTGCCAGAAACTCCAGAAGACACAGGTGGGGGCCTCAACTATCACCTGGATTAAAGACTACCTGACAAACAGACCACAGTTTGTGAGGCTGAAGAACTGGACATCAAACCAAGCGATCAGTAACACTGGAGCACCACAGGGGACTGTACTCTCACCATTTCTTTTCACCCTGTACACCTCAGACTTCCAGTACAAATCAGAGACCTGTCATCTACAGAAATACTCAGATGACTCTGCAGTTGTCGGGTGTATCAGAGATGGACAGGAAGCGGAGTACAGAGAGCTGGTGGAGCGCTTTGTGGCATGTTGTGAAAACAATAATCTGACCTTGAATGTGAACAAAACAAAGGAGATGATTTTAGACTTCAGAAGAAACAGGGTGGCGTCAAACACTGTTTCCATCATGGGAGAAGAAGTGGAGGTGGTTGAGGAATACAAATACCTTGGAGTTCACCTGGACAACAGACTGGACTTTAATAAGAACAGTGAAGCTGTTTACAAGAAGGGACACAGCAGACTGCACTTCTTGAGGACGCTTACGTCCTTCAATGTCTGTAGCAAGATGCTGCACATCTTCTACAAGTCTGTTGTTGAGAGTATAATCTCTTCAGCCATCGTCTGTTGGGGTAGCAGCATCAGAAGCAGGGACCTGAAAAGGCTCAACAGCCTAATAAAAAAGGCTGGTTCTGTTCTGGGGACGACTGTGGAACCACTGGAGGAGATAATGCAAAGAAGGATTCTCCAGAGAATCAAGAAAATTATGGACAACCCTGAGCATTCTCTTCACAAGACTGTCCAACAACGGAAGAGTGTCTTCAGTCAGAGGCTTCCTCAGTTTCGCTGCAACACTGACAGCTACTGGAGATCCTTCCTGCCAACAGCCTATGTAATATACAATAACTCTTTGATGACTTGATTATTATTATTATTCTGAGCTACTACAGCAATCAATTTCCCTCTGGGATTAATAAAGTAGTTTTGAATTGAACTGAATTTCTTATTAAGAATTTGTAAGTGTTCTATGGAGTGAATGGTAAATGGTCTTTATTTGTAGATCGCCTTCTTAGGGTTCTAAACAGCCAATTCACTTTTATAACCTAGACTTCACAATTTCTCTCTGATACAAATAATGGTTTTCCTAAACATCAAGCTTCCATTACATTTCACACATCACATTAAATCACTCCATATCCATTACACTACATCTCATTATTCATAAACTGTCATGTATATTTATTAGTTTAGGGAAAATAATTAAATTCATTTTATAAACTACATACGGACTCTGTCTAAATTAATACGAAGTGTGTTTATGGTCCATGAAGAAGCAAAGAACCCTAGAATCTTCTGATTAAACATTCAAAGATCAATCAGGTGGATATTTCATATTTATATGGAATCATCACATCTTGCTGGTCATAATTAACAAATGTATTCCACAACATTTATGGCGAGTGAAGTCCAGTCTTTTTCAAATCATTACACGTTATAATTCATTCTAAAATTTTATCCTCTTTACTGGGTTTTCTGTCTCTGAGCTGACGGAGCTTGTGTCTCTTTCTTTTCCTCTCCCTGTATCTGTGTGTATGATCGGGCAGCAGAGGAGGTTCTGGGGGTTCTTGTGGTTGTAAAATAAACCATGAACTGGAATCGGATTCATGAGGTTTGTCTGTCGCACCACAAAGACTTCCAAAGCACAGCATAATAAATGGATCTCCTTTGAGATCAGTGCGCTCAAAGAGAACACATTCCCTCTGGAGTGCATGCTCTGTTAAATCCTCAAATAACACAGATTAGTCATGACATGTGAGATTCCCATTGGTCACGTGTCTTTTATTGGTTTTAACACGTATTATGCGAAAAAGCCGTTTTTCCACCAACATAATTACATAATGGGTAAATATAATTTGTGGATGAGGATCACGCGTGGATGACCGAGACCTTAAGAATTGCGGATCCCCTTTTCTACCACTACATGCTGTTCCTATGCATGGTCAGAGCTAGTCTTATATTTAGGAACATTTTCACACAAGTACAAATTGGTAAATAACGCACAAGGCATAAAATCATTCCCACGCACAAAATATGGTTGATAAATGAGGGCCCAGGACTGCACCACTGATGTAGGTAAATGCTATTTCGTGAACTAAGGCTGTTCAGGGATCTACGACAAATAATGTATTGATTTCTAACATTCTTTTAAGGAATACACTTCAAATGACCAAATAAAAATCCCTGTAAGTGTACCTTGGCAGCTTAAATTGTTTTTGTGAACTGAGGTGGTGTTGGTGCAAGCAATCATATTACTTGAAAATACACCCAAAATGCACATGTAGACATTAGAAAAGGAATTTTAAAAAATCATGCACACAAATTAGGCTGGGCCTGGCTACATTCCTTATGAAGAGAAACACGACTGCACCCCAACTACATACAAAATTCGTCTATCTGGAAAAAAAACATGCTCAGAAAAATTTTACTTTTAAACTTTCTCAAACACACACACACGCACACACACACACGCACACACATCTCTCAGCAAGATGGCAAGGTTAGTCGTTGTAAAAGTGCGGATTAGTCGCAGTTTCACAAAGTTGCTTTTATTTGCTATTTAGTATTGGGATATTTTTGCCAGTCAAAGACGCTTAATTTCACAGTGCAACACAGTATGACAAACACTGACATTAGGGTCAAGACATATAATATGAGCGAGGATAAGAAAAAAATCTAATAAAAAATCAAAAATAAAAGAAAAAGTGCAAAAACAACTTAACAATCACTGAATAAAGAATTAATTCAATTTTTGTGTCAAGTGTGTGAATTCAAATCCATTATCTAAACAAAAGGAATAAAATAATCAGTAGCAGCAAAAAAATAAAATAAAATTAAATCAAGTATAAAACAGAGATTACAATGACACTGCCAATCACTGTTTTACTAAGATATCCATATATCATCAAATGGGTATCAGTGTAGACAAACACACTCTGTCACATGTGCAGAAACACACACACACACACATGTACATGCGCACACGCACACGCACACACACACGGTCACAGTTAACAGGTGCCAAAGACATTGCAGTGGGGAGTCAAGTTTCAGCTTGGTACCATAAAAAAAAACACAATACATATGTTACACACATTGTTAACACAGAATGCCAAAGTCAGGATTAACGGACTGCACATGCACGCACACAAACACTCAAACCCTTAAAGACCAAGTCAAAGGGTGTGATTTTCTCTCACTGTGGTAAAAAAAACCCAGAAGACTTTGCTCTAAACCTCCCTTGTCTAAAGAACTTATTTGCTTTCTTTTGCTTTTGATCGGGTATAAAACATGACAGCAACATGTCTGATAACAGCTGTGAGAAAGCTGCACTCTGGAAAAAAATGACGGTAAATAAATGGATGTGAAGAGGGGAAATTATCTTACAGATGAGAATTCTGTGAGAACAGATGGTTTTGTCGATATTAAACCGTAATCCCCGAAAAACTTAAGATTTTACCCAGGAAATGAAGAGTTTTAAACATCTGTCTGTCCCTAACTACATGAACCGGGTCTCCAAAAACTCTAGCACGCCCCACAGTCTGTTCCATGTATTGCATTAACAGCATGTGCAAGTGAGTCTGTCTGTTGGGCTGTCCCAGGAATCCCATTAAACTCTTAACAGACCCTCCTGTAGCTCATTTCCCTGCCTTGTTAGCAATTCTCTCCCTGAAATCTTTATGTGCAGCTTTCAGTTTTTTTCCAAACTTATCTACCCTCTGTCTCTCCTCTGAGTTCTCCTCTCTATCTGTCCCTACCAGTAAGTTGTATTTTCTGTGACGGGTCCCTGTCTAGTTAATCTAGAGGTGTCCTCCCATGTCCCTCCCTCCCACCCGCCCACCCTCCCTCTATGGACAAACACATAGGGCGTGGGGGCCGTCCATCAGGGGGAACGGCCAAAAGCGTCCCTCTCCCTCCCCCCAGATCAGGGCTGTGCAATACACAGATGGATGAGTTTCCCATTCACCCTCCTCCTGCTGGCTCACCTGGGTTGGAGAAGCAGAGTAAATGCAAGGACGTCAGCATGAACAGAACTGGACTCAACTGATGATCTCAACAACATTTGTGTGGGATTAACCTCTTGGATAATTGTAGAGGATCTAAACGCCATAGCAGGCTCCCAGTCTCTCCTTCAGCAGTGGGGGGAACTGCTCGGAAAACTGCTGCCAGTTCTCCTCCCCGACCTGCTCCTTAAAGCCATGCAGGATCTTTGGAAACAGACAAAACAGCACAAATTTAGGGTCAGCAGTAGATCAGGAGGCAGAGCAGATTATCCAGTAATTGGAAGGTTGCAGGTTTGATCCTGGTTCCCACCAGAGTATGCTGCTGTTGTGTCCTTGGTAGGGTTCAGTGATTTGTATAATTATTGCCACCACCGATTGTCAGTCAAATAAATGATGGGTGATTAATTCATGCACAGGATGCCATGAGGCACAGACTTATTTGCAAACACAGAAGTTGTCCAAACACAGATTTTTTTATGGGAGAAAACTTGTTAAAATACATCAACATGGTGGATTTAATAGAAATTTTAAAGAACAAACTCTGTAGGGTGTGAGGTGAGTTTGTCTCTGCAGAAATAAAAACACACGGAGCGTCAGCAGTCGGACGCAGCCGCTCACCAACACTCGTGTGTGTGTGTGTGAGAGAGCGTCAGAAGGCTGAGCAATAACCTGTAGAATAATTAAAGTCATCATGCTAGAGCAGCTTTCTCTGTGGTGGACCACACCAGCTTCTGCCACAAAAAATAATTATAATAATAAATCACACACAAAGTTAAAATTTAAATGTCCTTTCTGAACTATTTCTGTTGAGAGTTTGTTTAAAATCTGTTAGATTGTTACCGACAGCAGCTACATTTAAGTTTCACTTTCTGTTCTGAATGAATGCTGCTGCAGCATAGAGGTGTAGTTCTCATCCATCCTGGACATGATCATCCTGAGAGATTTAGCTGAAAAAAGTTGGATATTTCTGGATATGTTGGAGACATTTAGCCTCTCATCCCAGAGACTTCTTCCAGACTTTGGTTGTGGTCAGAAAAAAAACACACTGCTTGTGCTGCAAGTCGGTTTCTTTTTTTCTCGAAATGAAGGTGATGTTATCGTTCATAGAATTAAAATCCATGTTGAAGTTAAGATTATTTCATCAAGTAGGACCTGTGGTTAGCAGGCTCATTTAAAACATGTAATGTCTTGAAAGAATCGGAATCGGGAATTGATAGGAACCGGAATCGAAACGAGGAATTGGAATCGGAATTGGAATTGTTCAAAATCAAACAATGCCCAACCCTAACCATCAGTATACCTGGTACCAGAGCAGCCTACATTACATGTCAATGATTGACTTTGTAGTTGTATCAACTGACCTGAGACTGCATGTTTATGTTTTGGACACTCAAGTAAAGCACTCCATGAGTATAGAGTGGATGGTCTTTTGCTAAAGGCCATTCAGTCTCTGTACCAGAGAAGTGTGAGTTTGGTCCGCATAGCCAGCAGTAAGTTGGACCTGTTCCCAGTGAGAGTTGGACTCCGCCAGGGCTGCCCTTTGTCATCGGTCTTTTTCAAATTGTTTATGCTGGGGAGGTTTGCAGCCGAGTGTGAAGCAGCTGGGTTGAGGATCAGCACCTCGAAGTCTTGAGACCATGGTTCTCGACCGGAAGAAGGTGGCTTGCCAACTCCAGGGTCAGGAGAAAGGTCCTGCCTCAAGTGGAGTTCAAGTATGTCGGGGTCTCGTTCACGAGTGAGGGAAGAAGGAAGCGGGAGATCAACAGGCAGACTGGGGCAGCGTCTGCAATGATGCAGACACTGAACCGGTCTGTTGTGGTGAAGAAGGAGCTAAGCCGGAAAGCAAGGCTCTTGATTTACCAGTCGATCTACCGCCCAGTCCTCACCTATGGTTATGAGCTTTGGATAATGACCGAAAGAAGAAGATCGTGGATACAAGTGGCCAAAAGAAGTTTTCTCTGTGGGGTGGCTGGGCTCAGCCTTAGGTAAATGGTGAGGTGCTCTGACATTCAGCAGAGACTCGGAGTAGAGTCGCTGCTCCTCCATATCAAGAGGAGTCAGTTGAGGTGGATTGGGCATCTTGTTAGGATGCCTCTTGGACGCCTCCCCAGGGAGGTGTTTCAGGCATGTCACGTTGGAGAAAGCGTATTTCCAAACTGGCCCAAGAACGCCTTGGAGTCATACCAGAGAAGCTGGTGGAGGTGGCCGGGGAGAGGACAGTCTGGAACTCCCTAGTTGGGGTGCTGCAATCGTGATCCTGACCCGGATAGCGGAAGAAGACAAAAGACACCTTAAAGAGTGCACAGGGGTGTAATCTTTGATCAGATCCCTCTATTGCAAACTTATGGCGCTTACACATTAGCGTTGGCACGGTCGGGGTTTGGTCGGGCTGGATGGAGTGAGTTCGGTCTCGAACGGGCGGTGTAGTGTTCACATAAAAATCCAAGGGACTTCTCAGGAACGCGTAAATCCCCGGGCCTGTGGGCACCGTTTACTAGGCGTGGGAAAGTCCGCTCCATAAGGTACACGAACGGGAGGACATGAGCTGTGTTGCTTTTGGAGACTCTGAACCTCATCATTTTATTAATTTGCTGTGTGTGTCCTCATAATCTTGTGCCACCCACACACAAACACACACGCCAATTTCTCCGTCAAAGCTGCGGATCCAGGATCAGTTGTGAAACTTTTTTTTTTTTTACATTCGGGGTATCCCCCTGTGTTATGGCGGCGGTAAAAGCCAGCGCAGGGAGGGGGGTGGGGTGTACCGTCCAGAGCAGAGCCCAACTCCACAGCTGACGGAGCTGCATGTTCAGGTTATTTTGACAGTTTTATGTTCCCACACACAGCGCTGCTAGAGCCGATAATAATGGCACTGTAGGAAAGCCCGGGACACAGAGAGAGACAGAGAGAGAGAGACAGAGAGAGACAGAGAGAGACAGAGAGAGAGAGAGAGAGAGAGAGAGAACATAGTCGAGTAGGGGAGAGAGAGACTCCTCCCACATCAGCAGGTTCAGGCATATTTCTAAAGCTTGGTTTATGCTGCACTGTAGTTGACTTGAATGCTCAACTTCTCTTTTTAAAATGGTTTGAATGTTTCTGATGGCACATGTTAGTTCAAACAAGCGAAGGTGTCAGAATGAGTGCGTCTCTCTCACGGAGCTGACGTTTTAGTGAGGAAAAACTATGAGACGGCTTCAGCCTGCCACGGTAATGCAGGAAAACTGTGTGCATTTTTTATTTAATACACTTAAAAGCTATTTCTACCTACAGATTTCCTCCATGCATATTTGGAGTAGAACATGTTTTTATAAAGCTCCTCTCAAGATAAAAATCACAAGCACAAGTTGCTTCACAAACACATAAAAAAAATAAAAAAATTGATAATGGGAGAAAATATTAATAGCTTTAAATGTTTTTATTGTATGTAGCGATAAATATAGATTTATATCTATATCTCAAATGTGGTGTAGATTTAGCTTGTTTAGTTGTTTATAATCTTATATTAATTAATCGGGGCACCACCAGTTTTGTGGAACTGGACCATTGGATTTAATATCTGCATCTGCTCATATTAGTTAGTCTCAAAGTTAACACCACAAGTTAATCTAAAGGATGAATTCTTGACAGAATGTCCCGATTATTCTCGAGAATTGCTAGAAATGACCAGGCGTTATTTACGTTTTTGTGAGTTTATTACAAAAATCAGTTAAAGCATGGACAAAAAGGACCAAACACAGCTTATCGTTTCATGCATGGAATTAAGACAATTGTTAACCCCAGTGACATGGAATAACTGATCTGTAATAAAGTGGAAATTTGGTGACACCAAGATTATAGGAAAATGGGGAATAATTTACAAAAGGGAGCTAAGTGATGGTGTGTGTGTGTATGTATGGATGTGTGTGTGTGTGCGAATGCAAGAGGGGGTGTGTGTTCATGGGGGTGAGTGGATGCAAACGAGAGATGGTGTGGGTGTGTGTGGTAGCAGAGAAAAGAGGATAAATCTTCACAGCTAAACGTGAATTAGGATCGAAATAAAACACGCCATAAAAGAAATGTCATAATCTGAACTCTCGAATCTGCTTATATTAGAAAAGGTCAGTCAGTTGGAAACGTTTCACAGACCTGCTTTCCATCGCCGGAATGTGGCCAGCGGCCTGAATCAGCCGGAGGTTTCCTTCCAGATTGGAGATGTAACCTCTCCAACGTGTCCTGGGTCGACCCGGGGGCCTTCTGCCGGCAGGACATGCCCGAAACACCTCCCCGGGGAGGCGTCCAGGAGGCATCCTGACCAGATGCCCAAACCACCTCAACTGGCTCCTTTCGATCCGGAGGAGCAGCGGTTCTACTCCGAGTCCCTCCCGAATGTCCGAGCTCCTCACCCTATCTCTAAGGCTGAGCCCGGCCACCCTACGGAGGAAACTCATTTCGGCCGCTTGTATCCGCGATCTCGTTCTTTCGGTCGTTACCCAAAGCTCATGACCATAGGTGAGGATTGGGACGTAGATCGACCGGTAAATCGAGAGCCTGGCTTTCTGGCTCAGCTCCCTCTTCCCCACGACAGATCGGCTCAGCGTCCGCATCACTGCAGACGCCGAACCAATCCGCCTGTCGATCTCCCGATCCCTCCTACCCTCACTCGTGAACAAGACCCCGAGATACTTAAACTCCTCCACTTGTTCATTATGTTCTCTTTTTAAATATTAAACGAGGTTCTTTTTGCTTTGGACATGAAGGTGTTTCTAATTACCATTTTACATGTTTCGACCGTCGTCTGTGGTCTTCTTAAGAAGTGTCACAGGTGTTTGTGTGATGCGTCTTTATCAGCTGTTCTTCTGGTGGGCGCAACCAACCCGGATTTGTCAAATCCGCCGGGTCGGTCACGCCCACCTCCGCTGGCTGGTCTTTGGAGAAGGGAATCCCAGGTACGAGACAGCTGATAGGCCCCCTCGTTTCTGTTCATGTTCCAATGATCCCGTTTCCTTATTTCTATTGCCTCCCTGACCCAACGTTTGAACCGGTTGTTCTCGGTGTCGATAATTTTTCCTCGATCCCAGTCGATGATGTGATTATTTCGTTTGCAATGATCTGAGATAGCTGACTTGAGGGTTTGCTCCTCTGCTTTTGTCTTTGTTGTCCTTGTGACTCTTTCTGTTGTTTCCTTCTCGCATTCCTTCTGGTGCTCTTTTCTTCTTGTGTTATATGTTCTACCGGTTTCTCCTATGTATGTTTTATTGCACGACATGCAGGGTATTTCATATATTACATTACATTTGTTGTCTGGTTCAATTCTGTCCTTGGGGAACATTGGAACATGAACATGAGTCACAGAATGTTGCGCGCTAGGATGATGTTGACACCAAAACAACCAAAACAAAGCGGAGACTCACCTCTTAAAACAGGAAGAATCTGCGCGTTTCGAGCTTTATCCGTTCTTTCATAATCCGTTGTTTAATTGTGATCGGCAGAAGCTTTTCGGTTTTGTGCCTCACTTTTTTGTTACAGCAGCAGCCCAAAACTATCTCCTAACACATGGATTTTCTGCTTCCTGATCACGTGACGTGTGACGTACGTGGATGAAGATCAGCTTTAGAGCTGAGATGTTTGTTCTCACAGTGCGGGGACTTGTTCCGATGCCCCCACAGTAAAATAATGCAAATGATGACTTTAGTCGTCATTGGCATTGAATGGGTGGATTTAAAATGACCACTTTAGTCGTCAATGGCAATGAATGAGTTAATCAATCTGAGGGAAGAACCAGGCTGAGGTAGGAAACTAGGATGTACCTCAAAGTGCAAAACATTTAATTTTCTTTAAATTAAGTAACTTCTCAAATTTCGTGACTTGTTTGCCCAAAGATAAAGACAATGTTATAGTACTTGGGTCATAAAGAGCAACAATTAGCCCCAATTGAATGCGTAAAAAACTAAACAAATAAATTAATAGATTACTGATATGACTCTAGTGTTTTGAAATGGGTTTGAACCATACTCAGAAATTCCAACTTCCAAGTAGAAATAATAAACGGGAACACCCCCCAGAGTCAGAATGTTTTTTAATCCAACTGTGAGGTTCAATATAGCAGCTCATTTTAATAACAATAGTAGCTGAGGAAGAAATGTGTTTATTTTACAAGATTAACTTGTAAGCGTGCATCTAAAATAAATGTTGTGTGCAGTTGTATATTTTCCGAGGTAAATGGAACTCACCATGACATCCGTCCTTCACACAGCATAGGCATAGAAAAAGAAAATATCATTTCTATAAAGCCTCTCAAGATAAAAATCACAAGGTGCTTCACAATAACAAAAAATGTAAAAATATAAAAAACAAATTTAGAAAATGATTACAAATATATTTAAAATGAGCAAAAAAAGACAATTGTGATAAAAAATATGTTAAAAAAGAGAGAGAGTGAATAGGAAATAGGGAAATCAGTGGATCCTGAGGAAGGTGGAATAGGTGGGGAGAGCAGAATAAAGAGATTGGTGAAGAAGGTCATACAAAAGCCAGCTTGAACAGGTGAGTCTTCAGCTGCTTTTTAAAGGAGACCGCTGAGTCCACTGATCTCAGGCTCAGGGGGAGAGAGGTCCAGAGTCTGGGGGCCACAGCAGCAAATGATCTGTCACCTTTGACCTTTAGCCTGGTGCTGCACAACCAGTAGGCTTTGATCACTGGACCTCAGGGACCTGCTGGGGGTGTAGGGACTAAGAAGATCACCAATGTAAGATGATGCTTGTCCATGTAAGGCTCTGTAGACCAGAACCAGGATCTTGAAATGAACCCTGAAGTTGACTGGCAGCCAGTGAAGCTGGAGGAGAAGCGGGGTGATGTGGGTGTGTTTGGAGGACTTGGTCAGAAGCCGAGCACAGGCATTCTGAACCACCTGTAGACGGTTCAGGGAGGTTCTGCTCAGACACGTGAAAAGAGAGTTACAGTAGTCTAAGCGTGAGGAGATGAAGGAGTGGAGAACAGTCTAAAGTTCAGAGAGAGACAGAATGGGACTCAGCTTAGCAACGTTCCTGAGATGGAAGAAGGAAGAGCGAACAAGAGAACTGACATGAGAATCCAGGGTGAGAGCTGGGTCAAAGGTCACGCCAAGATTCCTGACAGGTTTGGTGTGAGAAGCAAGCTGACCAAGAGAGTCTCTGACTTTGGGAACCAGCTTGTCTGGGGCACAGATGAGGATCTCAGTCTTATCTTCATTCAGCTGTAGAAAGCTCCCACCATCCAGGTTTTGATAGAGTCTAAGCAGGAGTGTAACAGCTGCAGCTTAGACATCTCATGGGGCTTAAAGGAGATGTACAGTTGGATGTCATCTGCATAAAGATGGTAGGAGATTCTTTTGAAGGAGCTCAGGATGTGCTGAAGAGGAAACAGATAGAGGAGGAAGAGCAGAGGCCCCAGCACAGAACCTTGTGGGACACCATGGGTAAGGGAGGTGGTGGAGGACCTAAACTTGGAGACGGCCACAGAAAAGGAGCGCTCAGAAAGATAAGAGGAGAACCACTCCAGAGCAGTTCCTCATAGGACTACCCAGTCTCTCAGCCTCTCCAGTAGCAGGTGATGGTCAACAGTGTCAAAGGCTACAGTCAGGTCCAGCAGGACCAAAAAAGAACAGTCCCCTGCATCACTGTGAGTCAGAAGGTCATTAGAGACCCTAAGAAGAGCTGTTTCAGTAGAATGAGCTCTATGAAAACCTGACTGTAAGCAATCATAGATGTTATGTTCATCAAGAGCAGCTGTGAGTTGTTTAGCCACAACCTTTTCCAATATTTTGGAGATGAATGGAAGTTTAGAGATGGGTCTGAAGCTGCTATGGAGAGAGGCCTCAAGACTCGGTTTTTTAAGAAGCTGGTGGAGTACAGCGTTCTTAAAGTAAGCAGGGACCTGACCAGAAACCAGAGAAGCATAGAAAAGTAGACGCCACACCGACCGCTACTGCCTATGGCAGCCATATTTTCAGGATCTACATTTAATAAAGTCTATTGTTAACTGGATGTTTCAACTAGGACTTTAGCTTCATGTAGACCTGGAGCTCAAACAGGGACAGAAAGTCGTTCATAAACCTGTTCACACACACGCCAGAATAAACCTGCTCACTTTAACCTTCGTCAAGCAATATATGAGCGAGTGAGACCTGAGTGCCTTTACACCCAAGGTCCCTAACTAGATGGTCCTCTTGCAAAGTTTACAGCGAGCTTCATATCGATTGCCGGGGAAAGCCAGCTCCCGTTGAACACAATTCCCCATGTTGCAGTCGACTAACTCATCAGAATTTAGCTAGCAGCAAACAAGCAACAAACTCTGCGCTGCGCATGAACTGAGCGTTTATAACCTACAGTTAACACGAGACTTGTAATTTATTCACAACGTACCAACACAGCCCCTCAGAAAAAGTATTATCAATTTTTACTATTTTATATGGCGAACGCATCCCGGGACTAGACGACTTAAAAATTAAGACTGGACCTAATAAAATTTAAGATGTCTGGACAAAAATCTGGGCATTTTTAAGGCCATAAGTTAAATTTTATGAATTTTAGACATTTTAAGACCCCGCGCAAACCCTGTATGTAGCCTACAGGCAGATGATCCGAAGAGCACATGACATCATTGGGTGACACATCTGCAAGCCTCCGCCATCACGTGTGGTGAACGCCATCAAAGCAGTGTTTCCAGGTGAAGATGGCCAGTACAGAGGCTTCCACTGGCCTGATCTGGACTAGTGTGATATCTGTATTAAAAAAATATGTAAATAGTGTTTGCATGAACTGATAAAAATATTAAAAATTTCGTCAGAATAAAACTTGCCTGGTGTACGTGCCAAGGTATGAGAGCCTGTATGCTTAGAAGCAAATCTCAGGATGAGGGAGTGGAAGGCCTCTAGTGATAATGTCTTGTGATGAGAGGACAGCTGCCTCACATCCTTCACATCCTGGCTGAAATGCTGCTTTCTCCAACTTGACTGCTGAAGTTGATACTGTGGACAAACAAGACACATTTAAACAAACTACACATTAAATTTACTTCCAGGAAAATTAAAGTGTAGTTCTAACACTCACAACACTTCCAATAATTACCTGGAACTAGCCACTGCTTGTTCCTGCTTTGTCCTTCAAGTGGAGGATGGAGACAAACTGGAAATGCAGGTGTCTCATGTTCATGGATGTCCTGAACATAATTCATAAGTGAATTCCATTTTGCCTCCATCATGTCAGGGTTGCCATCAGGTGTGGATGCAGCGGTCCAGTACAGATGGTTCACTATGGACTATTCCACACATGTCACGGAGCTGGGGGGTAAATGGTGAGATAGAACTTGGAGCGGTCTGTGACAGATTGTTACTTCTCTGTAGTTTAGTGGGTTTTTATGTATAAAAGACAAGGATGAAGGACCAGCTGACAGCTCAGCTGTTTAGCTGAAAGACGGGAAAAGGAGACCCGCAGCTGGAGTCCGACGCCAAACAGAAGGTTTTAAAAATGATCCTTCTTCTTTGAGGAAGATGAGCCGAGTACCTGAGAAAATCAGAGGTGTTTTTTTCAATAATATAAATGTTTTTTTTATTAACATATTCTTTTATTTTGCAGGAAAACACAGCGAAAACACTTCTTAGCTGATTCTTATGACACAAAATATGCATATGTGCATAAATAAATAAAAATAAAAACTAGATTGGTACAGTGATCAACAAACAGGATGACTGTCTCTCTGTCCTTGTATGGTCCTATAACCTATTCTGTGTTACGATGGTTAAAATTTACCGGATCGGTGACAAATGAGTTGTTTCGAGTTGCACGGTTCACCGAGGTCAGCTGGTGGTGATCTGCAGACAGACGGCCTTCTGCCACATCATCATGAGAATCAGCAGCATCAGGAATGAGCTCATGGCTTCCACCTGTGAAGTTACATCTGCCATTATCTATAAAACACAAGTACAAATGTATATATGCAAGTTATTTTCACAATCTGAACATGTCAGCCAACATTATATAACCGTTTTTAATTTTTCTAGCTTAGAAATACAGTGGTGTGAAAAACTATTTGCCCCCTTCCTGATTTCTTATTCTTTTGCATGTTTGTCACATAAAATGTTTCTGATCATCAAACACATTTAACACAAGTAAACACAAAATGCAGTTTGGAAATGATGGTTTTTATTATTTAGGGAGAGAACAAAATCCAAACCTACATTGCCCTGTGTGAAAAGTAATTGCCCCCTGAACCTAATAACTGGTTGGGCCTCCCTTAGCAGCAATAACTGCTCTGGAGGAATTTTGGCCCACTCATCTTTGCAGAATTGTTGTAATTCAGCTTTATTTGAGGGTTTTCTAGCATGAACCGCCTTTTTAAGGTCATGCCATAGCATCTCAATAGGATTCAGGTCAGGACTTTGACTAGGCCACTCCAAAGTCTTCATTTTGTTGTTCTCCAGCCATTCAGAGGTGGATTTGCTGGTGTGTTCTGGGTCATTGTCCTGCTGCAACACCCAAGATCACTTCAGCTGTAGTTGACGAACAGAAGGCCGGACATTCTCCTTCAGGATGTTTTGGTAGACAGTAGAAGTCATGGTTCCATTTATCACAGCAAGCCTTCCAGTTCCTGAAGCAGCAAAACAACCCCAGACCATCACACTACCACCACCATATTTTACTGCTGGTATGATGTTCTTTGTCTGAAATGCTGTGTTACTTCTACGCCAGATGTAACGGGACATTTGCCTTCCAAAAAGTTCAACTTTTGTCTCATCAGTCCACAAGGTACTTTCCCAAAAGTCTTGGCAATCATTGAGATGTTTCTTAGCAAAATTGAGACGAGCCCTAATGTTCTTTTTGCTTAACAGTGGTTTGCGTCTTGGAAATCTGCCATGCAGGCCATTTTTGCCCAGTCTCTTTCTTATGGTGGAGTCGTGAACACTGACCTTAGTTGAGGCAAGTGAGGCCTGCAGTTCTTTAGAAGTTGTCCTGGGGGTCTTTTGTGACCTCTCGGATGAGCTGTCTCTGCGCTCCTGGGGTTATTTTGGTCGGCCGCCCACTCCTGGGAAGGTTCACCACTGTTCCATGTTGTTGCCATTCGTGGATAATGGCTCTCACTGGTTCGCTGGAGTCCCAAAGCTTTAGAAATGGCTTTATAACCTTTACCAGACTGATAGATCTCAGTTACTTTCGTTCTCATTTGTTCTTGAATTTCTTTGGATCTTGGCATGATGTCTAGCTTTTGAGGTGCTTTTGGTCTACTTCTCTGTGTCAGGCAGCTCATATTTAAGTGATTTCTTGATTGAAACAGGTGTGGCAGTAATCAGGCTTGGGGTTGGCTACAGAAATTGAACTCAGGTGTTAAACACCACAGTTGGGTTTTTTTTTAACAAGGGGGCAATTACTTTTTCACACAAGGCAATGTAGGTAATAAAAACCATCATTTCAAAACTGCATTTTGTGTTTACTTGTGTTATCTTTGACTAACGGTTAAATGTGTTTGACGATCAGAAACATTTTGTGTGACAACCATGCAAAAGAAGAAGAAATCAGGAAGGGGGCAAATAGTTTTTCACACCACTGTATAGACCAACTATAGCAACAGAAAAAGATCTAGCTCTGTATGTGTATTTACAGATATAGGACCAGCTGGCCAAGCTGTTTTATTCTAGCCTGGCCTGCCGAACTCGTCCTCTATTTAATACTACACAGAGAACGTAACAACCTCCCATAAGGGAGCATTGGGCTGGCTGGCCAGGCTGTTTTGATGTCGTCTACAGGAGCTTACTCTCATGACTGTCAGAACTTGCAGCATTATTGGCGGTGCAGCTATGACGTTAGCAAAATACACGACTGAACTGTTTGGTGCCTTATTGTCAACAATGCCATTCACTGTGTCCTCTGTGCTTATTCCCCTTTTGGGCGCTAACTTGTTGTCTTTGGTCACCAGCCTCATCCTACAGGCTACAGCTACACAAACATTAGCTCTTAACAGCTCACCCAGATGCTAATGAGCTTCTCTTCTGAGTAAACAGTAATAAACACAGGGAGATTTCAAATTAAACTCGTAAAATCACACTTCTATATTACTACACTATATCATAAGTCAATGTGTAGATAGTAAGTAATAATTACCAAACAAACTTCAAGTTTCCGAGCGGCAGTTCCTCGTGGAGTCTTGAATCTGCTGCGGCTGTACCCAGGAGTAGCCACTGTTGTGGACGCCGTCTCACCTCCTTTTTGTCCTTGTCGCTGTTAGCTGCCTCTGCTGTGTACTGACGGTACTGTGGTGGGCTTCAGCCTGACCTTATCCTTGCTTTTCAAGCCCACCTTCAGCTCACTTAGTCACTTTTATTGTAGACCTCGCGAAAATGTGCACCACACACTACGGAGCTAGCAGACACACTCCTTGAACAAACCCCACCCACGCTCAAAATTAAAATCAATGAACTCATGTCCAGACAGACAGAAGTTGGAACAACCTCCACATAAATAAACTTTCACCATTTTGACTGATTTTGGTACTTTGGTGCGAACGCTGTGGTGATAGTGATGGTCTCCTCTGCCTTGCCCCTCCTACGTCATGACATCACGTGATAGAAATTTGCTAGATTTTTGTTGAAGCAGCCTTTTTGCACAACGTAAGACAAATTATAACATCTGAAAATTATTCAAACACTAAAAAATGTGATCAGCTTAATAATTATAAGCTCATATCTTATTTTTCTAATCTAAATTGCTATTTCAGATAACACAATCATGTGTTTCTAAAGCTGCAGTTCATTGCAGCGCTCCTGATTAACTTAAGATCTGTCAAATATTTTCTACATCCAGGTTTTCCCCAAGTTTTAAAAGTGTTAAGGCAATAGAAATTACTTCTCGCATTAGGTAGGTTTTGTCTTTTCAGGGCGCTGTTGTGGGTAAATTATTTTTAACAAGAGAATTGCAGGATCTTAACGCATGTGGTCTTACCTTGTAAAACATATCTCTCAGATCATCTTTAGGATTCACCCAGGATGCCACAGCATCACAGAAGAAGATGAAGTCCTGAACATGAAGGGAAAAAAACTGTGACAAACTGAAAACCCCCAGTGAGTAATGACAGATGGCTGCTTATACTGATCCAGGTTCTGTTGGAGGTTTCTTCTTGTTAAGGGGAGATTTCCTCTCCACTGTTGCTACATGCTTAGCCTGTTCATTTCGGGGTTCATTTCAAGATCCTGGTTCTGGTCTTTGGGGCCTTACATGGACAAGCGCCATCATACATTGGTGATTTTCTTAGTCCCTACACCCCCAGCAGATCCCTGAGGTCATGTGACCATAGCCTACTGGTTGTGCAGCACCAGGCTAAAGGTCAAAGGTGACAGATCTGCTGCTGTGGCCCCCAGACTCTGGACCTCTCTCCCCCTGAGCCTGAGATTAGTGGACTCAGTGGTCTCCTTTAAATTCACCTGTTCAGGCTTTGGTGGGACCTTCATCACCTCTCTCTCCTTGTTCTGCTCTTATTCCGCCTTTCCCGTGATCCACTGATCTCCTTCTTTCCTATTCATTTTCTCTCTCTTTCCTTACATTTTTTTTAAATCACAATTTTATTTTTTCTCATTTAAAACATGTTTTAATCTTTTTTTGTACATATTTTTTATACTTTTTTTTTTGTGAAGTGCCTTGTGATTTATATCTTGAGAGGCGCTATATAAAAGATAGTTTTCTTTCCTTCTTCTTTCTTAGTATGAGGACTGCTGTAAAGTGACTCGATGCAACCTGCTGGGTTCCTTATTTAGGAAACTTTTTACTAACTGACACAATGAACTGAACTGAATGTTTACTTCGTGAAGTGCCTTGACTACGACTACAAATTTAGGTGGTAAAATTATAGTCTGAGAAATAATCACGGTTTCACGATTGTTTTACATGAATAGATTTCACATCTCTATTAACATATAAATCATACACACATTCTATACGGTATTGATAAAAGGCATGACGACATTCTATAAAGGGTTTGAACCCCTGAAATAGTTATCATTTCTTTTTCAGGGATTCTGCTTCGAAAAATTCACTCTTCTACTGATTTGCAATGTTGATGTTTTATCTTCACAAACTCAAGCCTGGAGGAGTTCTGCTGTGTGGTGGAGATGCTATTGCTAACAGTTAGCTTCTACTAACAGAGACGTTCTCTGCTGTTTCCTGGACTAAACCAACAACAGCTTCCCCATCGTGAGTCAAGATGGGTGAGTCCATGAATGTTAGTGACAGTGTGACGTAGATCTGTCAGGATTTTCTATCCTAGAGTTTCACCGTCTGTTTTCTATCAGAAGCAACTGCAAGAGATAGGTGTAGGAGACTATCTTCATGTTCAGCCTGCATGAAACACTCAGAGTGACCCGTTAGAATCAGAAATAATCATTAAAATGGTTTTTCAGTGAACTACTCCTTTAATTATATTTGCCCAATAGCCAGATCTAAGCTGGACCAGATCTAAGCTGGACCAGATCTAAGCTGGACCAAATCGAAGGTGGACCAAATGTAAGGTGGTTTTAAATAATCTAGTTAAGGTCTAATGTGGCCCAGAAATGTGATGAAATCTGCTTTCTTTGAGCATTTGAACATGGAGAAACGCGTTTCAACAACAGAACCGACCGGAACACTGACCTAACATCGGTGCAAAAACGAGCGGATGTTGATTAGCAGCAGGAGGGCACACAGCGAGAAACATGGAGGGAGCGGACTGTTTAGTCCTTTAACTAAACTGTGGTAAAGCGTGGGTGTTTAATACTTCCTCATTAAAAAAAGTGTGGGCGTTAAAACATCCACATCCCCCACACCCATGCTGGTTCGGTGCGCTGACGCACACGGAGAGCGTTTACCTTTTTAAATGCCAGAGCAGCAGCGAGTGGGAACCGGATGGAGAGAGAGGCAGCAGGGAGGAGGGGGTGGGGGTGTAACGCTATAGTCCAGGCTGAATTGTTTTTCTCCGCTTTTCTACGACGATTGGCTTAAACTTCTTCACTACGCTGCTGAGTCGTGCTGACAGACATGAGCACCAGATGTGCACATTTGCTGCCTGCAGAACTCACGTGTCCGCAGCTTTTAGCGTAGTTTAGAGGGGTGAGTCATACCAGCGTAATTAGATGCCAAATTGTGTACTTGCTACGCAAAATGCATACAGGTTAGCAGGTCTGCTCTGGCTGTGATTTGGTGCTAAATAAATCATTTGAATCATCAAAAAGCTCATAAAGGTTCATTTAGTTTTCTGTGGCCTTGTGGTCTGAGTGTCCGCCCTTGAGTTCAGCTCTGGTCGGGTCATATACCAAAAACTTTTAAAATGGGACCCAATGCCTCCTTGCTTGACACTAAAGCCTGGTTTATGCTTCTCCGTCAGCTCCGCAAGGGACAGACACGCACGGATTGACGGAAGCGTTTTGCTCTTTTACTTCTCCGTCTCCTGGAGAGTGTTGCAAAGCAATTGCCCGGCAGGACCACAGAGGGCGTAGCGCTGTTCTGTGGTATCCTGTCATGTATCGGTCCAAGATAGTGTGTTTATATTGTGTTTTTTGTGTATATAAGAGACTTTTAACACGGACATATTTGTCTCTCATTCTCCTCCACCTCTTCATGCGCTCCCCACCTCTAAACCCACGTTTCCTGTCATTTCCGTCCACAAATAAAACGCTTGCTGTGCATCTTATCACTCCTCCAGTCACGGGAGAATCAAATGTTCATATTTTTAGAGTTTTTTCACGAGGTATTCTTCAAGCTTCTCCGTGTCTGCCGCTAGTTATCCTCGGCTCTCTTTGCAATGGCGGCGCTGTAAACAACAGCGGCGTCCTGACCAATCACAAGCTTGCATAATCTGTCTCGTTCGACGGATGTTTAAAAAAGTGGGCTCGACTCCGTACGTACTTGCGTGCCTGCCGGAGCCCTACGCAAGGACGGATCATGGCGTTGCGTGTCTCCGCACTGACGCAGACGGAGAAGCATAAATCAGGCTTAAGCATTAAAGGGTTCTGCAGCTCCCCACTCCCCACAGGGATGGGCCAAATGCGGAGATGTCATTTCACCAGTGTGCGATGATGACTAAAAGGACTTTAAAATGCACAAAAGCAGTTGACAAAACCTCACCTGCACGACACCTCCAGGATTCACACCAATCATTATACAAATCCCACGGAAGGCAGAGTCCTTCTCCTCGTTGTCTCGGATGTTGCGCAAAGACGTGCACCTTAAACGCCCACAAGTTCAGAAGTTAGCATCAACCAGAGGTGAGGATTTGCATTCACACTGTAATTCCTTTAAAGAAACTAAACGTTAGGGCATTTTAAAATCTCTCACCAAGGTCGGATAAACTGCGGGAGCATGGGAGCAACCTCCTGAGGACACACGTACCCCAGCCGGCCAATGGTGATGGCTGAAAAACGATGACAGAGTTACTTTGCGACTTCTTAAAAAATCCAACATGGCCCAAGTCTAATAAGAACACACGTGTGTGTGTATCCACACACCTGTGTTCTCCAGCAGGGTTTTGGGAGTGTTGGGTCGATTAATAATCTCAACCAGCTGTGACAGAACCATGGCTATGTATGGCTGCATCTCCACTCCTGACAGAGCAGAAAAAACATGAGAACCGCCTCCTCCTCCAGTGATCATGTGCAAACCATAAAGATATAAAACTGTTAGCTCTCACCCATCTGCATGCAGATCTCTCCTATGGCCCAGGTAGCATTGTTGCACACAGAGATGAACTCTGGGTTCAGGTTTGTTCCGAGGATCGGCATGAATTCAGCTAAACAACAGGATCAAACCAGCCGTCGCTTTTTATTTAGCAGAGACAATTATTCATTTCCCTTTTGTTGTACAGTTTATTTTTTCAGGAACCAAGAATGTTAAATAAATGACAAGTAATTACCAATACATGGTTTCACATGAGGAAAGCAGGCCTTGGTCAAATCACCCAGCAGAGCAAAAGAACTCTGCCTCACCTCAGGCATCGTATCCTGGAACAAAAGACACAGAACAACAAAGAAAAATGTAAACACACCACGTGTTAGTCCCAAAGACTGCTCAGTGGCACATCAAGCAGCTTGCTGAAGTTGCTTGTGTTTTAATAACATTTTCTGTTGCATAGAATTAGCAGTGGCTAGATAATAAAGCATCAATAAAAAGGCAAAAATTATAAATTAAAATAAGCTCATTACAATTAAACGTGTTGACACCTGAACTCTGCTCACCTGCATGCACTGGAAAAGCAGGGTCATTATGTTACTGCGGGCCACGAGTGTGTCCACATGGCCGCCAAGCCCTTCGGCCAGACCACTTAGAAGATCCAGAGCCACAATCATGAAGTCCTTGTCGGGTGCTTCGTACTGGTCGGGCTGCTGGCTGTACATCTGAGACACACAAGTACAGCACGTGGTTTTATTTATGTAAAGAAAACAAAAAGAAAAAGCAGATGTGGCGCGAGTAAACAACCCGTTTTGCTCACCATAGCCTGAGCCAGCGTTTTCTGGACCAGGGTGACGCAGCGCTGGTACACAGGCTCGCAGTATGGGAGGAAACCACTCTGCAGTGCCGTGGCAACAGACGACAGACACTCGAGCAGAGGGAAAAGGTCTTTGTCTTCATCTTTCAGCTCATTCCATTTAGCTATCAGTGGAGGCATCAGCTTCTGAATGTACTCCTGAGAGAGAACACACATTCACACATTTTTTTCAGCAATAAAATAAAATGGTTTAAATGTATGTGGCTGCGTTTGGACTCACCGGCTGGTTGAGATGGTGTCCTACAGAATCCGCCAAGGTTCCTATAGCGTCGTACAGAATAAGCAAGTTCTTGTGCTGATACTTCCCAAAAGCAAAGACCAGCGTGTCCAGGATGAAGCTCAGATAAGGCACCAGCTCTGTGCAGGCCTCTTCCTCCAGGGTGGCAAAAGCGCTGCACAAATGACAATTAGAGTCAGTTTATTAAATGGTCTGTATTTGATATAGCACCGTCTGGTCCTGGAACCCTAGGCACACACATTTATACACATTTCAGACATGAAAATGGGTCAAGGATGATATGGGTGAGGGACTCCCAAACCCAACCAAACCCCTCTCTGAGATTCTACGTCAGAGAAACTAGCTGCTAACACACGCACGCATGCACGCACGCACGCACGCACGCACACACACACACACACACACACACACAATGTTCTTATCGGATCTCCACGAACTACATAGGTGACTCAATTTGAATTCAAAACAGTGAATTTCGGCAAAAAGTGAGGGATTTTCATGTCCGACAAATGAAATAAATATAATAACGATGGTAATAATATAATAAAGTCGACCTCGATGGCAGTGATGGAACTTGAAGAAGGGATATCTAATGCAATAGATAATAAGGAATATACTGTTGGTGTTTTTATAGATTTAAAAAAGGCATTTGACACAATTGATCATTCTATATTAACGAATAAACTAGAGAGATATGGCAGAAGAGGGATAGCATACAAATGGATGAAAAGTCACCTGGATGACAGATGTCAATATGCTGAAATTAATCATGTAAAATCTAAGCAGTTGAAAGTTACTTGTGGTGTTCCTCAGGGCTCTGTGTTGGGCCCTAAATTATTCATACTATATATAAATGATATATGTAGCGTTTCCAAACTGTTAAAATATGTATTGCTTGCTGATGATACCACTTTGTATTGCTCGGGTACAAATCTAGAACAGCTTCTGACCATAGTGGAAAAGGAGTTAAATATATTTAAAAAAACTGGTTTGATATAAATAAGTTATCGTTAAATATAAAGAAAACAAAATTGAGTGTTTTTGGCACTAGACAAACGAAAAATATATCTAAAATCAGGGTTAATGGAATTGAAATTGAAAGAGTGTACGAAAATAAATTTCTTGGAGTGATAATTGATGACAAGTTGAGTTGGAAGTCTCATATAAATCATGTGAAAACAAAAATGTCAAAAACCATTGCTACACTCTACAAAACAAATTATGTCCTGAACAAGAAATCATTACACACACTTTATTGTACTCTGTTGCTTCCATATATGACTTATTGTCTTGAGATATGGGGTAATGCATATAAAGCAAATACTCTTCCTATTTTCAAGTTACAAAAAAGAGCTATAAGAATTATAAATCAATCTAACTATATAGAACCAACTAACATTATGTGTATTAATCTGAATACCCTGAAATGTTATGATTTAGTTGAATTTAAAATAGCACAGATAATGTAAAAAGCACAAAATAACTTGCTTTGCCGCAGTACTCAGAAGCTGTTTGAACTCAGAGAGAGTCAATATGACTTAAGGGGAGCTGAATTCTTTAAGAAAAACAGAATAAGGACAAATTCAAAGCTGAGATGGGTTTCCGTTAGAGGAGTTAACCTGTGGAATAGTTATGACAGTGACTTAAAAAGGTGTAGTTCATTTTCCTTGTTTAAAAACACGTTTAAAAATAGAGTATTGGAAAAATATAAAAATCAAGAATGAAAAGAGCAAAAATAATAATACTGAAACTCTTGATTGTTTTGCTTTGATGAAGTTACTTACTTAAGGTGGACAGTTTGTTGTTTTGTTTGTTTTGCTTTGCTTCATTTTCTGCATGCAGCTCCTGTGTACTGGAGCTGCATGCAGAAAGATCTCTGTTAGAAGGGTTGGCGTAATAAGCAAATGCTTCAGCCAATACCTTTTGAATACAGTAATCCCTCGCTACTTCGCGGTTCGTTCATCGCGGATTCGCTGCCTTGCGGATTTTTTCTTTGGAGCATTTTTCAGGGGGAATTCGCAGATTTCCGGTATTTTTCACTGATTCGCGGTATTTTTCTATGCGAAATATCAAGAAATTCTTGTTTTTTTTTTCATCAATTTCATCATAAAATGCACTTTTTGTAATAAAACTAAACAAACCAAGTAAAAAAAATGTTTTTTCTTGAGTTTTACCCACAAAAACAGAATGTGATCATACGATAATTCAATATAGTACTGTATGTCAGACAGGTCAGCTGGATTCGGGGGATGAGCTTGTAGGGAGCGTGGTTTCACAGACGCGGAAGTGAGAGCGTCGGTGAAAAGCCGGCTGATTTATTAAGGTTGGTTTATGCTTGACGCGTCCGCGAGGTCCGCACGGCTCCGCGCGGAAAAGTTGCGTCATTTTAACAACCACGCCCCTCCACCGAGTATCCACAAGGCTCAAGATTTCCGCGATGCGCACCTCGGAAAATTTCTAACCACGTGGATGGACGGACGCGGAAAAACATGGCGGACCGGCAAGAACTCGTACGGCAGAGGTTCGTAAATACAGACATTTGTATGATTCAGCTCTCAAAGATCACCGTGATCAACATGTTGTAAATAATTCTTGGAGAAATAGCTCGCACTGTCGGAAAAGACGAGGACGCTGTTAAAAATGCTGAAATGCCATGTTGTAAACAGTAATTTCTACTTCTACTATGGTGTAGTGTTGGATGTTTGCCGTAGAGCTCCATGCTGCCCCCTACAGTTTGGGAGAATATTGGCTCACCGCAGAGACGAGCCGCATGAACCATAAACGCTGCCAGTTGTGAAGCGCGTTCCATCCGCGAGCCACATCACCGCGCGGAAAGTGAATGCGTCAAGCATAAACCGGAAACCCCCGAGCGTTCGAGCGTCAACGAAGTGACACGGAAATGCCGGGCTTTCCAGAAGTAAGTAAGATAACTTACTATGAGCTGATAGTTCGTTGGATGGATCGGTAGGTTGGAAACTCTGATCATGAATCTGAAGAAACGATGACTGAGTGGTGAGCTGGAAAGGCGACTTCCGTTTATAGCCGCGGTTTGTGACGTAGGTGCGACGTGGAGGGAATCCCCGCGAGGGGCATGCTGGGAGTCCCTACTTCGCGGATTTTCACTTATCGTGGCCAGGTCTGGAACGCATCTACCGCGATAAACGAGGGATTACTGTAGCCTCGTCTTTGTGGTGATTTTTCTTTTATTTTTTGTTTCTATTTCTTTAATATTTTGTTTTTCACTGAGATATTTGAATGCTAATCAATAAAGTTTGAGAAGTTTGGAATAAATGCTTCACCTGCACGCCGCCTCCTGCACTCTTTTGTTTCCGTCGAGAATCCGTTTCAGAAGTTCCGTCATGAGGGGCTTCAGGTGAGCATCAGGTGGCTGGCTGACCACCCAGTGGGCGTAGCGGCTGAGGGTCCAGCAGGCGATGGAGCGAACTAGAGCCTTCTTGTCGCATAAGCACTGGATGAGGTGGGGGATGAGCTCAGGCAGGTACGGTACCATGCCCTGCATACAACCTGAGAGGGCAAAAAAAAAAAAAGCACTTTTTAACCACAATATAATTTTTTTCAAAATGATGTGTTTTACTTTCATATATGAAATGTTTTCAGTCTAACCTTCAGCGATAGCCCCCAGAACTAAAATGCCAGACTCCTTGATGACCCAGTCTGGATGGAACAGAAGTCCTTTGAGCAAGGGTAAGAGATGTGGAAGCAACTCCTCTCGAAACACATTGGCAAGAACATCCAGAGCTGCAGCAGAACATTTACCTAGAAGCAGGTAAATGGCTGTTAGCATCAGATTACCTTAAGAAAACAATAAACACTATAGAGAAACTCCAAAGTAAATAGTAAAATTCGTCCTCTAATGTCCAATCCAACAATTTAAGGTCTCAGAAATTATGCTAAAATCTAATTTTCTGCTAACTGTGGAGAACACAGCTGTTTTAACTTTTTGCCACATGGTCCACATGCTGGATAACTTACGGAGATTCCAGTCAGACAGCGTGTCATCGTCATCGTCCTCATCCTCATCAATGTCCTCCCCCTCCTCACCTTCCACACCCTCATGCTGCAGGGTCACGGTGCGGGACTTGTGGAAGCGAGGCTTGATGTCCTGCTCGCTGTCTGGAATCGTTTCATCCTCTTCAACGTCACCCTGGAGAGCAGAGATTGAGGTTTAAAAAGAAACAACTAAAGATTTGAAGAGGAGAGAGAATATTCGGGTGATATTTGCTTTCCTGCTATGCTTCTTACCTTTAGAAGAATGATGTCTATCTCAGAATATTTCATCCCATTCACCAAAATGGGAATCAGCCTGAAATATTGAAATATAAATAAAAAGCATTTCATCAAATCATCTTGTGACTAGGGTTGGGCATCGAGCATCGATTGGAAGCGGTTCCAACTGTTAGTTTTTCCCAGAATCGTTCAAAGTTTTTTATTTCGATTCCTAGAATGCCGTCCGGAAAAGGAATCCACGGCCGATCTCCTTGAAAAATAAACGTGATCTGTAAATTGTGATCAATGCTTTTCAAGCTGCACGAGTCCCCCCTCCCCCACCCAGATATAAACAAACGCGTCTGCCGGACTTTTACTCCGTGATGTCAACTTTAACTCCTGCAGCGAAGAGGAAACTTGTTAAATACGTCAACACGGTGGATTTAATAGAAGCTTTAAAGAACAAACTCTGGACGGTGTGAGGTGAGTTTGTCTCACTGCAGAAATAAAAACACACACGGAGCGTCAGCAGTCAGACGCAGCCGCTCACCAACACTCGACTAACCCTAACTCAAATGGTTCCCTAAAAGCTAGATGGAACAACAGAAAATATGTGTTTTAGCGTGCTTATGTGCTACAATAACTCAGAGATATCCTAGTACAGAGAAATTAAATCAGTTTTAGCGAGCCCCAAACACCAAACAGCTACACGTCGTAGTGCAACACTGAAAACAGGAAACAGGAAACGCCTTACCGCCAGGTGCAGCCAATCAGCCAAGACAAAAGGACCAATTCATTACATTGCAATATTACTGATTTTAAATTGTAAGGCATTACACAACTTTTGCATTACTTGAAGTAACTTTCACCAAAACAACTTCAATATGAATCTGGTAATCTGACGCTCAGTGAGCTCATGACATATATGTGGAAGGTGATGTGGTGTCTGAGCTAGGGTTGCTGTTAAAAACAGTCAGATATAAAAACAGTGCTTTAAAATGATTGTTTATTAAATAAAAGCAACAACAATCTTTACTCTCAGCATGCTGCCATCTTATAGGGCCATCTGAGCAGGGGTGAGGTGGTGGGGGCTCCAAGCCTATATTTGCCTTGGTCCCCAAATGCCTTGATACGGCCCTGGATGTGGGACTGACTTCTGGGGTGATCTGATTCTATCACATGTATAAATATTAAATGCTTATATATTATTGATTTTCACTGGTAAAAATGTGTATTGGGGATAAATCTACCTACTTTTTTTTCTTTTCAAGAAAATTGTTTTGTTTCCTTGATTTTATTTGAATAATTTCCGGCCCTTTCTCTCTCTAACCTTCCTGCTTGCTGCATGTTTTCTCCGTCTTCCAGAAAAACTGTTTCCTAGATTTCCTACTTTCTAACTAATCAGCCAAAGGGATCTACCGAACGCAATAAATAAATAAATAAATAAAAGCTTAAGATGCGCTGCGCTCCAGCAGCAATGAGTTGAAATCACCGGGGCACAGATTATGAACTCAGCTAAAAGTACATAAAGTACCAGAGAATATGGGCGGATATAAACGATCGCAAACGAATGACTTTGTTTTGGTGGAGCGATTTTGTGAATATAACAGCGGCCGCACGCGGGACGCAGCTGGAGTATATGAGCCATTACCGCTGCGTCCTCTCTGCTCATAGAATGCCCGCAAAGCTGAGTCCATAAATGACGTCATATATGTGGATACTGGATCTTTTTTCAGGCTTCCCGCAATTTGAATTTTTAGGAAACCAACATCTTGATTCTGGGTTTAAAAATGCATTGTAATTACCACATTACTGACAAATGTACCGAGTAAATATTACCATCTTCTGTACCGTGGTACTCCCAACACTGTGACTGACTCACTCACATGTTCCCTCTCCTACATTAGTTGGTGACGCAGTGAATTAAAACATTAGGAATCCTAGTATTTTAAATCACCGCTTCACCCGTGTGTTTTTCCTGTTTGTGAGTCGAACACCTCCTCCATAACCAGCTTACTGGTATGGAAGCCTGCAAAGGCCAAAATTCCTCAAAGTTTTTTTCCCTACTGGCTGATATGAATTAATAGAATAGAATAGAGTAGATGTTATTAGTCCCACAGCGGGGACATCCACTCATTACAGCAGCACACACTTAGACACAGATTACAGTAAAACTGATTCCAGCCATGTTTGCTTTGATAACTTCAATAACTTCATGCTGATGACCCACATGAACATAATCCTGTTTAGTGGATGCAATTACATCATGAAGTTAGCTTAACATGATAGATTTTTTTTTCTTGGCAGGAAATAATAACTGGAAATATTATTAATGACCTGATATTACCCCCACCCCCAGATGAATTCAAACAATTTACATTCATTATAATTAAAAGTTCCACAGACAGACAGACAGACAGAAAGAGGATTGATACACACACACACACACCAAACGGTCGGCAAATTGTCCGCTTCCAACCCCATGACCCTGTCTCACTCTTTGAAATGTTCAAAAGTTGGCAGACCTGTGCAGCATGGAGGTGTAGTTCTCAGTCATCCTGGACATGATCATCCTGAGAGTTTTAGCTGAAAACAGCTGGACGTTTCTGGATATGTTGGAGACATTTAGCCTCTCATCCCAGAGGCTGCTTCCAGACTTTGGTTGTGGTCAGAAACAAACACACTGGTTGTGCTGCAAGTCTTTTTCTTTTTGTCTCCAAAACATGTTTTTGTCTAAATGAAGGTGATGTTATTGTTCATAGAGTTAAAATTCATGCTGAAGTTAAGATTATATCGTCAAGTAGGACCTGTGGTTAGCTGGCTCGTGCAAAGCACATCATGTCTTGAAAGAATCGGAATCGGGAATCGATAGGAACCGGAATCGAAACGAGGAATTGGAATCGGAATCGTTCAAACTCTAACAATGCCCAACCCTACTTGTGACCAAAGCAGCCTGGCACACAGACAACATGAGACTTACTGAACCAGGTGACCAGACAGAGCTTCTTTACAGATGGGCTGCTCAGCCAGGGTCAGCCAGAACTCACAGGCTTCCAAAGCCACGTTCTCATCTGGGTCCTGAGTCCGCTGCAGCATGTACTAAAATAAAAATAAAAATTAAACAACACACATAAGGTAGGCGATGTGTTTATTTGTTATTTATAATGATGTAAGACTGTCACATGACCTCACCTGGATGATGCTGTGCATGTGTGGGATTAGGCGGTCGATGCGGACTTCCAGCAGCATGACCAGAGCCCTGCAAACATTTTTCCGGACTTCACTGTCCTCATCACCAGCCAGCGCAAACAGACTCTGGGAAACAAAGCATAATTTAAAATTTTTTAGAAATATAGGACCGGGAAACTAACGTAGCAGTGGTCAGTTTTTCACCAATAAATTGACCAGAAAGTAATCTTTCATTTGCAGACACAAACACACCACCTGTCTGCCACAGTGCTCGTTACCGTACAAGAAGAGATAACACTCTCGCTCAAGGCTTCAAGCATTCTCACTTTGAATAAGGTGCACCCACCTCAAAGTTCCTACGTGACTTTACAACTAATAGGTTGAAATAATCAAATGAGTTGAATGAACATGATGTTAAATCAAAAGTTTGAATTATTTGTGCTTTCATAAATGATGGGTTTAAAATAAATATCTTTCTTGCAAAGATCCATTTCAAATCTTAACTACTCTAGATCAGTATGTGTTGATTTTACAAGTTAACCTACCAGTATACTCATACACATTATAATAAGATAATTATTAATGTTTAAAATCCACTTCACATAAATGTTTAAAACATTCTCATTCACACAAAGAGTTAACCATCTTCTGAGGGATATTTTGGTAAGGCCCTCAAACGTGTCAAATTCTGATCTGCCAAATTTGTAAACAATGGGTTTTAATAAAACAGGAATTAATTCCCAATTAAGCCAGTTTCTCGCTGACTCTCGAACTGGCCGATTCGGGAATAAGGCATTTTGAAACCATCTTCTCCTTTGACATCAAGTCAAAGCCTCTCTGCAATGCTGCGGGTGATAACAGACACAATGGCTCTTCTAAGAGCAAACAGACCTAGACACAAACAAGCATTCCAGCTTCCTTTCCTCGCCTGGAGACATCTCAGGCCCTGTCCACTCGTAGCCGGGGATCTGCCAAAACGTAGATATTTTTCTACGTTTTGGCCTGTCATCCACACGAAAACGGATCTTTTTAAAAACTCCGGCCAAAGTGAAGATCTGCGTTTTCTCCGTTTTGGGTGTCTGCGTGTGGACGGACAAAACCGGAGTTTTAAGGTCCGCAACGTCACTTTCTGCGACAAAAAATGCTGACATCACGTGTGCGACCTGTGTTTACACTAGCCGACAGCATGGAAGCCCTCAGAGCTGCGCTCTGTCACTACCCGATCCATCAATTGTCCAAGCGCTTTTTGCTTGTTTGTTTTTGCAAGCGGAATTACTGCTCCTTGTGGAAGACCACAGACGAAGGACGAGATTAAGAACGGGGGAAGTACTGCCGCCTACAGGTCTGGCATGTCCTTAACAACGTATTTATCCGGGTACGTGTGGACAGAGTTTTCTTTTTAAAACGAGGTGGTGTGGATGCAAGTTTTTGGAGGGGCGGATATTCGTTTTTAAAAAACCCCAGCTACGCGTGGACTAGGCCTTAGACTAGACGGGTCCTATCGGAGCTAATCTACAGGTTCTAATACTGAGAGGTTCACTCCACCAGCAGTGTCTATCACGACCTCTTGACCCCCTGGATCACAAGAGAATCTCCACACAAAGGGTGCGCCGTGGACTTAGCACAGATTGCATTGGACGGTTTTATAAACAAGTCTCTAGTTTACCAAAAATACAGCCAAATTTATTTTACAACCCAGACTCCACAAACTCTCTCAGCTACTTAAGAAAGGTTTTGCTACAACATCTAGCTTCCATTCCAGCCTTCCACACCTCACACTAAATCACTTCATATCCATTACATTACATATCATTATTCATACCTTGTCTGGTATAATCATTAGTTTAGGGAAATAGAAATACGTTTATTTTTATAAACTATATACTTGAATTAACTCATTCACTGCCATTGACGACTAAAGTCGTCATTTTAAATCCAACCGCTCTCTGCCAATGTGGGCGTCGGACGAGCCCCCGCACCGTGAGAACAAACATCTCAGCTATAAAGCCGATCTTCATCCACGTACATCACACGTCACGTGATCAGGAAGCAGAAAATTCATGTAAGAGATTGTTTTGGGCCGCTGCTGTAAAAAAAGTGAGGCGTGAACCAGAAAAGCTTCTGCCGATCCCAATTCAACAACGGACTGAATTTAACACTCACATACATTTTCTTGATTCCAAATTAACAGAAAACTGTCCTTGACCAACGATGACCTCTACGGGATTTTGTTGTAAATGGTCACAGCGCCCCCTAGATAGGTTCAAACTTTATTAACTTCTAAAGACAAGGTCAGAATCGCATAATACTTGGCTTGTGTCATCACGTGACTGCACCAAACACATTGATGTGGTTGTTGGTTCAAATCCCTTTAGCTCCACCCCCTTTCAGCTCTCTGGCTCTAGAAAGAATACGCAACGTCTGATTGATGCCAAACTACCACAAAACCATCTTTTGACTCCTTTTTCTTCTTCCGGCTCTTGGAGGGTGCAGACGCTTTTCTTCTCCTCTCCTCCATATCTTATCCTCAAGGCCATTGTCTGTCTGTCTGTGTGTGCTGGGTGCACGGCTGCTTCTGCATTTTTTCTGGAAACTGAAATTCACTAAAATGGATCTCGTCAGTTGGTCACTCAACGCGGTTGACAACATTTTTTCAAGGATGAGAACGGGAGAAGGGGCTCCCGGATGCCCCTCCGGGACAGACCAGCTGTCTGTGGAGGACTCTGAAGACGTGTGGATATTCGTGGTGTTGGTGTCAGGTTTCCTGCTCATTGCATTGGAGGCTACCTGGCTTATCGGAAAATTAACGAGCTGTCGAGGAATATTGGCCTGATCCCGGAGCTCAGATGGTTTGCACCGCGCTGTGAATTCACAGACTCACATAATTGTCAAGATGAATCGTAAGCTTGGGACTTTGGCCGAGTTTCATTCATTGGCACAAAGATGGATGCCATCAAGGATAGAGTGGACGAATCAGCACGGATTGGGATAGATTAACGTCCATTATTGGGATTTTGAGAGGTTGAGGACCAACAAACTGTAAGACAGAGAGGAAATTATCTCTGTCTGGCCCCAAAACAATTTCTAATCGGAATCTTGCGCCCTTAAAAGTATGGATATTTTTTCAATGAGATGCTGATTATTCTGTAAAATTAATTAAAAACAAACATAAATAGATAAAAAAATATTACTGGTACTTTTACTGTCATTTTGTTGTGGAAAACATTCAATGAAAACTCTGAAAGCGGCTTAAACCTGCATGTTTTTATTATTGTGGGCCTATCTACATGATTAAAATGATCAGAGCCACTTCAGAGTTATGTTGTGGTAACTTGAGGAACTGTGAAATAGTAACGCTTTTGCTGTATGCTTCTTCATGTTGAATTCAAATAAAATATATACAAGAAATATATGATGATGATAAGAATAATGATTGTATGTATATGTAACAGGGATGTTAGGGCTAAAAGGCAGAATATACGTTTGATTGTTTGGTTTTTTTCTCATTACATTGGAACTTCACGTTGTCCCACATCGAGTATCTCTGTCCCACATTTGGAAAGTTGGGATCTGGTCACCCTAGCCAGTGTATGTTTGCAGTTTGACCACAAAACACAAACAATTACTTTCCATCAAGAAAAGCATTTGGAAAATAAACAAGAACTTGTTTTCTTTCCTCCATTATCAAATCTTAACTCGTTCACTGCCAATGACGACTAAAGTCGTCATTTGCATTTTTTACAGTTTGAGCATCAGAACAAGCCCCCGCGCTGAGAGAACAAACATCTCAGCCCTGAAGCCGATCTTCATCCGCATACGTCACAGATCACATGATCAGGAAGCAGACCATCCATGTGTTTGGAGATCGTTTTGGGCCGTTCCTGTAAAAAAAGTGAGGCGCGAACCAGAAAAACATCTGCCGATCACAATTCGACAACGGATTATGAAAGAACGGATAACGCTCGAAACACACGGCTTCTTCCTGATGTAAGAGGTGAGTCTCGTCTTTGTTTAGGTTGTTTTGGCATCGACATCATGCTAGCGCGCAACATTCTGTGACTCTTAAAAAAACAGTAAAAACGGTGAGAAACGCTGGCAGCGAAGGCCGTTAGTGATCAGGAAACGGCTGGCAGTGAATGAGTTAATAATAAAAAGAAAAACTGTTAGTGATTTTCAGAAACATCTGGGTTTCTACCAAGACAAAAAAAAATGCTTACCTCAATAAAAGTGTCAATGTTATCCATTAGAGCCTGAGCTCGGCCAATAATGAACTGGTTCACGCATGCGATTGCATGAGATCTGAGACCAAACACAACCAGCTGGTTACTTCAACAAGGAACTGATCCAAACATCCAAACATCTGACTTTCACAAACCTGATCTTGGGGCTGCAGTGTTTGAAGAACTGTAGAAATTTGGGGATCATGATGTTGAGGGGTCTGTTAAGAGCATCGCTATCGAGCAGCTCAGAAGAATCCTCGCAGATCTTCTGCAGTGCTCCAAAAGAACCCTGAAGGCAAGAGAAGATCACAGCTATTAGACTAAATAGCAAGTAAAAAATGTGCTTGTGTGTGTGTGTGTGTGTGTGTGTGTGTGTGTGTGTGTGTGTGTGTGTGTGTGTGTGTGTCTTACTTCACATGTGTTATAGTCCTCCGAATTGAGTAAATTACAGAGCTGAGGCAAAAGCTCTGGCCAAGTCTGTAGCTCTCCCTTTGAGGCAATGGTTGTGATCAAAATGCCTTCATGACAAAGTAAAAAACAAATTGTCAAATTAATCCAAAGAGTAACAGATTACCTGATAAGACAGTTACCGGTGTATAAAAAACATCAGCCAAACACAGCATTCACACCTACAACCTTACCTGCATAAATTCAACATCACACATGATAATCTGACTTCACTCACACACACGCACGCACGCACGCACGCACGCACGCACACACACACACACACACACACCAATTGTAGCTCTGATGAGCGGCGACGGATCTCCAATGTTGTTGAGGCATTCTCGTTTGATGAAGTCAGCCACGTTGGGAGGAAAGTTCTGGTAGTGAGCTTTTACATTGTTCTTCAGAATCAGGCCACTCAGGGAGCGGGTCGGCTCATCTTCACAAAGAAAATAATGCATTTTAAAATGTAAAAATGCGGTTTGACAGAAACATTTACAATATATGAAACAAACTTACAAAAACTATTCAGTCAATATTAACAACCCAGTCATATTGTCAGCATTTCTAGTTATAAAACTCAGACATACCTTCCGATTTGAGACTGGTGAGAACAAAGATGAGATAGTTGTTGAAATCAGGAAACTGGTTGAGCTGCTCCAGTTTCTGCAGTATCTGTTAAAGCATTCATCTTTTCACCACAGGACACATTCTTATATAGCATCAGCTACTGATTGTGATTCTGACCGCATGGATTAATGCTCAATCATGCTGCCTCAGCGGAGTGCACATGGCAACACAAACTGTTAACTTTTGCAGTCACTGATGTCTCACGAGCTTTTTGCGGGGGAGGCGAAATCCCACACTTTGTCTTCTTAACCTCACTGTAATACACAGAGGTAAGGATACTTCTTGCACGGCTCTTTGAGTCGCTGTGTCTGGAGACTGGGAATCCTTCAGAAGCTGAAGCACTTGCTGTAGACCTTGTTCATCAGGCTGCCACTCCATCCTACAAACATAATGCACTCACAAGCTGTTTAAAACGCATGTAGCACACACACACACACACACACACACACACAACTGCTCGACTTATTAACTCTGCAGTAGTGACAGCAGTGCTTCTCCCATATAGATCTCTATATGAGGCTTTAAAGTCCCAACAGAAAATGTATTATAGTAGCTATAAACATAGGCAAAAACAGCACATCTAACATGACTTTGTGCAAAATTTTTATTTTCATCCATAAAAACTAAAAGACTTAATCTTATTTTTTTTCAAGGTGTTGCTTGTTTTAAATAAGGGTTCTCTTGTGGAAACAAAGTCTGAACATTACTAATAGTATTCACAGCAGAAATACAAACAGCTTCAGCACAGGTAAGTCCAAGTCGAGATCTGATTTATTACAGAGCATTCTGTTAAGCTCCGACTAATGATAATTACATTTGGGAGGTGGTTATTATCACAACTCCTACAATAAAGTACTGTCACTCATTAATTAAATCATAGTTATGTTCTTCTACCAGCTAACAGACTCAGACCACGATTATGATGATTAAGCAACTATGATTCAAAAACAAACCAACTGCATAAACTGGCCATCGGGTGTCTGAATCTGTGACGATCATCGGGTTCCAAAAACTCGCCGAATCGCTCTACCTCCATCAATAAATAGCCAATATTCCGCAGCTATCAACAGTAATCTGACTAGCCTTTTTTCTACATGAGGCCCAACGGCGCACGTTAGCTTAGCGTCGCTGTTGTATTAACACAGCTGACTCAAACTGATATACCACCATCCGGCGCCAGTTAAACAAACGCCACTAAGCACCACCAAATTTCTGAACGTGAAACAAAACCTACAACTAAAGTATTTTGGAAATGTGCAAAAGCAAACTTCCGCACGTTAATCCATAACAGCTACAAGTAGCCTGTCTGGCTAGCAACATGTTGAAAGTAGCGCGAAAGGGTTTACCTGTTCTCGCCGGTGTAGTAGATTTATGTTTTCTACAGACAAGCGGGGAGATACGTTCTACAATCTAGCATTAAATAAAATATGTCAGCGATCAATGAGGCCTAATGCAAAAATGTGATGGCGCTGTGTTTTCAACGTTAGCTCGTAAATGACTGCATGCCTTAAGAACGAGCCGGGTGGTTTGATTTAGTTCGGCTTCCGTAGTGGTACCTGGTTGAATCACGGGCGTATGGGTTGAATGCTACAATCACGATGAAGCATAAAACACAAGTTTGATTTTAATACTTTAGTGCTCTTCATTTCTCTGTGCAATTAAATAAATCTAAATAAATACGCAATTCGTCTACTTTATTGATAGTATACAATAGTGTATGTATGGCTGCCGACCCGGAGGCGTCATTTGGAATTCTAGGATGTCCAAGGAAGGCCCCGCCTTCTCGCCTCTGATTGGCTGGAAGGGCTCTACTACGATTGGTTATTTCGTGTAAGAGAAAACAATTTTCCCTCGCTGCAGGTTTTTATGTTTACAGCCAGATCTTGAGTTTTTTTAAGAAAATGTTAACTCATCGCTATAATAAACATCCTTTCCTGTTTAGCAACAAACCAGGTTCAGTTTATTTCATAAAATAACCTGAAAAACATCAAATGTGAACTTCTAATAATTCTTGTAGCATTTTATTACACTGTAGACTGACTTTATATCTGTTGGCTCTATTAGGGTTATCTTATTACTTCTTTATTTGGCAATCCTGCTTTAAAAGGCTGTTTACAAGTTAGAGCACATCTCTCATCATCAGATTAAATGTATATCATTCAATCAAAAATTATGATTTAGACCTATTTTTCACCAGTTTTCATTATTCTAGAGAAGAAACAGACCTGGGACCTCATTTATCAAGCTTGCTTCGGCACAAAACAGGGTCAGAAAATTGCGTAAGCAACTTTCCACGCAAACTTTGGGATTTATGAATGAAAACTTTGCGGAAAAATGTGCGCAACTTTAAGTTGACTAAGGACCTGGCTTACGCACATGTTGGACATGGAGAGCACATGCAGTGCTGCTGCTGAGAAGGATAACATTATGAAATCCTGCGGCATCATCACTTGTACCGCTTAGTTTTCACACAGAACAAGACCCCCCACATGCACACACACACACACGCATGCGTGCACACTCACACGCACACGCATGCGTGCAAACACACACACACAGCCTGAAGCGCAGAATACGGAATGCAGAAATCAGCAGGGGGACAGATTGAGATAGAATGTCATGCGTCTGACAGTGTGTGTCCTGTCACTGTGACCCGATTGATCATGCACCCTGGCTACTTGGACAAGGGAGATCTCTGTTTGGCTGACTGGTTAGTGTGCGTGACTTTCACCCGGGAGTCTGGGGATCAAATCCTTATTGGATCATTTTCTTGATATCCGCCACAGATCTCTCTGAAGAACTCAGCATTGACGGCTTCAGCAATGCTGTGCCACTCCAGATTTTCTCTTATTTGTTTTGCAAAAGCACTTCCTTTCATTTCTCCACCTCACCCACAAGTAATTTCTGCTTGTGAAATAACTCTTCCTTGATCTGCGGTCGTGATCGAAATGCTGCAACAAGCCAGCTTATGTATATGCATGAGATCTACAAGGCACTTTGCATTGACTATTTATGGCAGTAAGTGGGCGTGGTGAGGGCGGGATGTGACTAAAAAGCAGCTGAGAACATTTGTAGATAGTTTCTGATTTATGAAGCGGAGATTGCGTGCAGCTGTGTGTACTCCATGTTTGATAGATCACAAACCTACTTGGCGTAAGTACTTTTTTTTTTTTTTGCTGAGCTTAAGTACGGTTTTAGTAAGGATTCTACGCAATGTTTGATAAATGAGACCCCTGAGCACACAGCTTGGCAGAATAGGGCAATTTTGTTAAATGTCATACCCAGCTAAGGCACATATGTTTATCCTATGTATGCTTCAGAGCCAAGAGATATAAAGTAAGTCCAACAGTTTGATAAATGCAACAAGATTTAAAATTCACATTTTACGTTTTTCAGTTTTTTATGAAACATAAAACATAAAATATTGTAACCAGAACAGAATGTTTATTATAGCGCTAAGTTCACATTTTCTTTACTAAACGCCCCAAAACAGCTTTCTGCTTGTGGTTCAGTCAGCTCTTAGCGAGGACAGCGAGTTTGCTAAATGAAATAGCCAATCGTAGTAGAGCCTTTCTAGCCAATCAGAGATGAGAAAGGCGGGATCTTACTTGGACATCCTAGAATTCCAAATGACGACCCGGAGACCGCAAATTCAGCACAGTTTCAGACTTGTATTGTGTTTGAGACAGCGCCGTCTAAAGAATGAGTGTTTTATTGCAACTATAGATTCAAAACATGCCTACATGTGTATCAAGTTACATGTGTTGTTCGAAGTTAGAAATATCAGAATTTTATTGAAGCAACATAAAATGATTTAATTGCTGGTGAAACTTTACATCAAACTATTAAATAATTGACCAGTATTGTTCCATCTAACTGAAATATCATTTTTGTGTGTTACTTGTGGTGGTACATGGCTCCTAGATCCAATGAAGGACGAAAATACCAGCACATTCTTCATTTATGCAGCCATCAGGATTTTAAATCTACAAGTCCTGGAGGAGCTGCCAGACATTCATTCTCCACTGGGATCATCTTTGAGACAAAATGTAAATTTAAAAAAAGTAAATTGTGGCTTTCTGAAATGATCTATACACTTTAAGCATATTCATTGTATTAACTTTATGTATTTAAAACCCAGCAGATATTCTACTATTTATTGTTTTGATGGTCCCAGTAGGCTGTTGTGTGTGTGTGTGGGGGGGGGGGGGAGGGTAGGGGGTAGTCTGAAGAGAAAAGAACACTTTTCTTTAGAATAGAATAGAATAGAATAGAATAATCCTTTAATAGTCCCACAAGGGGAAATTTGGTTGTGTCAGCAGCAACATCACACATATACAAACAATGCAGGACACAGAACAGAAGCACAGTTATTACCTATTTACATCATGGACAATAGTTACCAGAGCAGAGTACAATACAGTTGTTTATATAGGCGCACACATATTGTGTAAGCATAGCAGGATACTGAAGATGTTAAAATAGTTTTAAAAGTTTAAGATGATTAAAAGAGTGCAGATTGTTTATTTTTTACCTTTATTATGTATAGTTATCACAGTGTGAACTGTAATGTTTTGCAGCAAACACAATTTAGTTTATATTCACATCAATACCATTACTTACTATATGAGCAGTGCTCCTTTCTTTAACTTTTACGTAACACCCAAGCCCCCCACAATGCGGCTCTAAAATTGGTCTCAACCCGGAAGTACCTAAAATTGCAGTTCCACCCTCATCCACTAGGGGCTGGTGTCAGAAGCGAGCAAATCCTCATAGACTCCCATGTTAAAAATATCAATTTCACAGCAGAAATAAACATGTTTACAGCCTGGTACCAAAACATGTTTTTTGTTTAAATGATCTAGTTTACACTCTTGACAACTCTGAGGGGGGTGAATTTTTTTCTCACTCTTCTGTTTAAGTGTATTAAAAGCCTAAAATTCTGTATAATTAATGAGCATCACACCCACGTGACCACAGAGCTAGCTCCGTGGAAAGGCCTCAGTAGAGCCTTGGTCTGGCCTGGAAACTGTTCCAGGATTTTGAGTCTCTGTGTTTGTGTATTCTTGTTTGGATATTTTTTGTGCAATTGTTGGACAAAATGACTTGCTGTGGCATTAATTGCACTAATAGAGCGTCCAAGGAGTCTCCACTTCATTTTTTTCGGTAAGTAAAATTATATTTATGTATTTTAGGTCACTGCCGAGCTGAGCTTAGATTTTAACATGTACTGTTTAACCATGAAATTTAAATGTAATAGGGTAAAACCCAGTGCATTTAACATAATGCTGCACTTTAGAAAATGGGTTGAAATGTAACATGTTGGTGGAGCTGGGTTCCGACTATCGGCTTGTGGAGGTCTCGGGAGACCGATGTTTTCCACCTGTTCTCCCCTCCCCGCAGCTCGGCGCATCTCTGTCTGATCGCGGCTTCTGTCTGCTGCGCGGGTTGCCGGCTTGTGGAGCTCTGGGATGGAAACCTTTCCACCCGGTTCTCCCCAGCTGCAGCTCTGCGCATCTCAGATCGCAGCGGCGCTTGTCTGCTGTGCGGCTGCCGGCTTTCAGCAGCTTTCGGGAGACCACTGTGTTCCACCCGGTTTTACCCAGCGGTCAGCCCGGCGTATCTCTGACTCAGAAGCTCTGGTGTGGTGCACAGTTAACTTCGGTTGTAGCTAGGTTGCTACCTCCGTTAGCTTAGCTCCTTCCTCCGCATTAGCTTTGGGTTAGCTTCAGGTTAGCTTGCAGCTAGTTCGACCAGGTGTCGTCAGTTGATCCCAGCCTTACAGCCCCACCCTCAGCTCCACCTCTCTTCCCTTTTGTGGAATTGTCTGGGCTTGACGGAACCTGTGACACGGTCAAAATGGCGGTGGTGGCCACCTCCCATTTTAGTACAAAAACTTATTATTTGGAACATATGGAAACCCATTGTCCAGTATATGTATGTCGATGGTAACACCCGCCCAATTACGGTGTCTAGCAAAGGACAAACAATATTAGTAACCTAAACCTAGAGACCTCACCTTGGCGCCTTCTGCTGACATATTTCAGACACTACCCTACATCCATTCTTTGACGTCCCAGTCATCAGACCAAATCTAATCTGACGACAATGAGAGAGAGACAGGAAAAAAACTGAAGAAGAAACCACAATGTAGTGTGAGCAAGTAATATGGCTTGTATGTTCCCCCATCCTCTACTAAAGACGAGAACTCTAGCTGTGCTGTGCTTTGTACTTGTGCTCCTCTGACTTTGGCTCTCTGCCACGGTCACCATCCTCTTTTTAATCTTCTCTTGAATTTCTTCGTCCACTACTAGAGAATCATAGAAAATATTCTGGGGGCTGCTGATTCCTCGGCATATTCCTTCTCGGTTCACAAGGCCCGGGGAGTAAGGTGGTATCCCCCTCCATTACACATCCCCTCCTTCTCTCACAGTCCACCTCCTGCACACTCACATTTTCCATTTTTGACCACTCAAACCTGTTGATGTGTTGTCCTATCTGCAACGTCCTCAACATTTTCCTCCAACTCACCAGGCTCATTTGGCACCAGATAAATAAACTTGAATTGAACTGAATTATTTTTGACATGCTTATTTTGTATTGTGAATTGTTTTTCTCTTTGTGGTGCCTTCCAGAGACACTAATTTGAACTGATGGGAACAGGTGTGGAATACCCACAGGTGCAATGTACTCATTAACGGAACATAAAAGGAGCTGAGGATGGAGAGTCCAGGAGAGAGCTTCCGCTGGGTACAGTTGGGGTTGCGATATCTATCATGGGTCAGGGGCATGGGTGAATCCGCTACTGTGGTGGCCCTGTTGGACTGTCATTGGGAGTTTGAGTGCAGAGGCCGTTCCGGATCGGCTGAGGGAATGGGCGAAGGAGCTAGGATTCCTTGAGTGGCCAATGTGTTTCCAACTGGTCTGGATCGACGTCCCTTTGTGGTTTCTATCGGTTCCTGCGGTGGACTGTTATTTTTATTTTAATGGGGTCGAAGCGGTGGAAGGCCGGGAGCTTTTATGGAATATGTGGGGATGGTTTAGGCAGGGTGGCGGTGGGGTTGGTGGTCCCTAGTTAGGGTTATCGTTGTAGTCACAGGACTGGGGACAGGTGCACTGTGTTCTCTGCTGGGTTGGTGGTGATTTGGTGGGCCCTGCAGTGGATTGAGGCACTCGGCGTGTGGTGGGGATGCTTTTGGGTGGCACTTTTGGCTTTTCTCCAGAAGGTTGGTGTGTATGGGAGGCTGTGATTGGTCTTGGGCTTTGTGCCATCGTAGATAAGGCAGTAATACACCTTGTGGGCATCTAGCCTGCCAGAAGAAGAAGAAGAAGAAGAGACCAGGACAGCAGCAGACACCAGAAAGACAGGCATGTGGCCTGATTGAGAGAAAGAGATGCACCCTGGACAGTTACATCTCTGACATGGACACGGGCGCCCGACCCCCCAGAACACAGATTGGTACCTGGAGCTCAGTCCTTGCAAGTGGCCAAGTGCTAAGGATCGTGGGTTGCCCTTACCCCGCACATGTGAGTGGCACAGTGTTGGTGCTGGTTCCTTGATGTCTTGTCAGGGCCTTTGGCCGAGGAAGGCATGTCATGTCCAAGGAGCGGATCTGTGGCAGGGGGCTGCATGAGACAAGAGACTGACGGTGCGCGCAGCAGCCATCGGGCAAGGGGGTGACGCTAATGCTTTGATGGCAGCACAGACGGGTTGGTGCGGGAGATTGGCTGTGTGCCTGAACAAAGTGACCACTCTTGAGGGAAATATTGAGGTGGTCCACACATACAAATACCTTGGTGTCTGGCTTGATGATTCCCTCTCCTTCAAGCCCCATGTAGATAATCTTGTGAAGAAACTCAAACTCAGACTAGGTTTCTTCTTTCGAAATAAACTGTTTTTTCTTTTGAGGCAAAAAAAAATGACTAGTTACTGCAAAATTTCTGTCTATTCTGGATTATCGAGAACTTTTGTATATGACTGCCTCAGCACAGTGTCTTGGTAACATTGGTGTGGTTTATCATGCCTTGCTGAGGTTTATTACTAACTGTAGACCACTGACCCATCATTGTGAATTGAATTCTCAAGTGGGATGGCCTTCTTTATCTACCAGGAGGTTGGGACATTGGTACACTTTCATTTATAGGGCCATGTTTGGACTTCCCAACTCCATCTGCAACTTCATCTCACAGAGAAGTGTAACTTCTCACAGTCTGCGTGCAAATGATCAGTTGTTACTTTGTGTTCCGTTTGCTCGCACCGAACTGGGCAAAAGGGATTTCGTTCACTCTGCTCATTCTGCATGGAACAGGCTGCAGGAAAACTGGAAATTAACTGGGTTTATCTCGTTGAATACATTTAAAACCAGACTGAGAACCCTGGAGATGAATTCCCTGTGTTGTAACTGCCTTCTGTAATTTTGTACATAAAATGTCTGTGTAGCTGAAAAAATTGTAACTGTAACTTTTGCTGCCTCTTTGCCAGGACTCCCTTGAAAATGTATTTATTTATTTATTTTAAATCTCAATTGGACCTTTCATGTTAAATTAAAAAAAAATTTTTTTAATTGCCCCAGATTAACAGTACCATGCAACCTCCCGATTTGCCGACCGGGTGAGCAAAGCACTTGGGACCATCCTCTCTTTGACCTCAAGGTCAAAAGCCTCTCAGTAATGCTTACAAGTGGTTTCAGAAGCTACAACACCTCAGACGTGGAACGTCTAACTAGCATATCCTGATAGTATCTCATGGCCAGTGATATCTGAATTCAAAGGGAATGAATTCTGACTCTGACTTCGAGATTCTGGAGCCACTCCATCCGGTGACATCACCAATCTGGCTGCCTCTTCTCCGGATCGCTCAAGAGCAGCCGTCACACAAGGGTATTGTAGACTTGCACACTGGCGTTTGATGGTTTAACGAATAATCTATAGTTTGTCAAACCATACAGTCAAACTGATTTTACAACCCAGACGCCACAAGATCTCTCAGATACTTAACAAGGTTTTGCTACAAACATCTAGCTTACATTCCATTATTGAATTAATTGTATGTTATCTTGTACAACCATCATATCATTCATACTTTGATATGTATAATAAGTAATTTAGAAATATAGTATAAAATTAATTTTTTATGAACTATATCCTTGACTCTGTCTGAATTAATATGAAGTGTGTGTTCCCTGAATAGTCCAAAGAACCTAAGGTAATATTAAATCAAATATTCAAAGACCAATCAGATTGATGATTAATATTTATATGGAATATCACGTCTTATTGATCATTTAATAATATGTAGTAACAATCCACCATGCTACACACACACATTCACACCATGTCCCTCCGGTCACCAACAGCAGCATTCTCCGCAGGGACCCAGAATCAATCACACAACCCTCCCATAACTGGACAACTCACTCTACCACCTGAGCTACTGCTGTCCCTCCTACTGATCCTGAGCTGGGATGACAGAGGCAAATAAATAAATGAGTAAATAGACTAAAAGCAAGAGTTCGCTCTACTCTCCAACTAAAAGTATCCAAGAGCTGTCACAAGACTTTTTCTATCCTCAAGCTGTTTGACTAATTTATTCTTATTTACACTCAAAACTTGATAACCAATCATTTGTTTGTCGATTAACGTAAATAAAATTAAGATTTATGTGTTAAATCTTTACAGTCACCGATTTTCTTTTTATTTTCGTTAAACCAATCTGTGGAATTAAAAAAAAAGTAAAAGCAGTCTCGTAAAAGTGACAGCCAAGAACAACCAAGCAATCACCTATCTACATTCTTGACTACGCAACGTGAATCTCTAGTATCAACCAATCAGCGTTTAGTAAGGGGCGGTGCAACGAGTGGAGGATAGCAACAGTTGCCCCGGTGAAGGCAAGGCGCCATAGTCACGGTAGTCCTGGCGACAAGAACCAAGCAACGATAGTCAACAACAACAAGCGAGATCTAAGGGATTACATTTTTACAAAGGAAACGGACGATAGTGGGATATAAAGGTGAAAAGTAAAATATATCAGAATGTATTGTTTAGTTTGTTTATTACTTATAAACGTGGCTTGTGTGGAACGGTTGAGCTCAAATGCGGAATTCGGTCGAGCGTATTGAGTGATGAGAAGTATTTTTTTTTTCCAAATGGAGACCGTTGTTATGGCGATGTCAGATCTTTGATAAGAGCACAAGATGGCGGGTGGGGTTGTAGTGCCAGTCGCACTTTCTTGTTTATTTTTTTATTTATTTAAGCTACATCTGTCACAATGTTCAGGTTGCTTTAAAGCCGTTTCGAAAACCCCGAAACAAAACCGTGACGTCATTAGTAGCGTGAGGAAATATTTATGAACTATGTAGATATTTGTAAGAAGCTAGCTCGCTTAACGTCACACATCGACGTCAGCTTTTAGCAAGGAAGGAACGATCCCTTTCACGCCCTTATCTGAACTCACTTTTCAAACAGACTCTAAAACTAACTGCGTTCACAGTTTAACTGAGTGTGAGTTTCTGAGGCGTGTTTTATGACTTTGAGAAAGTTTTTAGTGTGATATTGAACCAATATGTCACACTCGAGTGTGTTACGGTATGTTGTGCCGAATAAAGCACCCATGCTGGGAACGCACCTCTGGGAAACACATTTCCAAGGCACTCGCTCTGACTCATGGGGTAAAAGTTAAAACTACACAATTAATAGATTTTTTTTTCATGAATATTTTCATCCTGTCAAACAAGGCTGCTTGCTATTTCTGACCAAATCTACTCGTCAGGTTAGTAATTATACTTTAACAAACATCTACCATCCAGCTTAGAGGACATTATTACAAATTACTTTATGCAATGATAGCTTTAAACATGTTAACTTGTAACCACTGATAATCACGCTTCTTATGAGAAAGAAAACTGTGTTCTTCACTTTTGACATTTACTCATGCTTATTTAATAGTGATGGGAATTCCAGCTCTTTTTAGAGAGCCGGTTCTTTTGGCTCAGCTCACCAAAAAGAGCCGTCTCTTTCGGCTCCCAAGTGGCTCCTCAGATTTTCTGTTGCGTAGAGTACATTTATAACCAAAATAATGCAAAACTATATGTAAAATGATTTACTAATGTAAAAAAATGCTATATATCTAATATTTATCATTTCTATGGATTTAGTAACTGAACACTTTAAGAAATCTCCACTTTCCGACTGCTGGCGCTCATTTTCTCACCGTTTTCGTCACACTCTCCTGTCTCTCTCTCTCTCTCTCTCTCTCTCTCTCTCTCTCTCTCTCTCTCTCTCTCTCTCTCTCTCTCTCTCTCTCTCACCTTTTTCCTCCTCATTCCCTCTCGTCTCCCTCCGCCCGCATGTGCTCTGCTGTGTGTCTGAGTCTTATCCTCCCTCTTCCCCGCCCCTACTGCTCTGTGTGTGGACAGTCTGGACACGCAGTTACACATGTTGACCAATCGCCTGTGGCTTTCACCAAAGCAAAGGGGAAGGGGGGAGGGGACGGCTCCCAATGACGAGCCGGCTCCCGTCGTTCACTTCAAAGAGCCGGCTCTTAGAGCCAGTTCGTTCGCGACCGACACATCACTATTATTTAATAGAAGGTAGAAAGGAAATAACTGGATGCATTGATAATAAGAAGTATGCAGTTTGTAGATCTTAAGAAAGCATTTGAGGCAGTTAATCATGACATACTGACTAGAAAAATGGAAAAAGTATGGTTTTAGGGGAGTAGTATTGGACTGGATAAAAAGCTCTCTGTTAAATAGGCAGCCATTTGTACAAATAAATCAACATAAATCATGATTAATGGATTCTGTATGTGGGGTACCTCAGGGATCAGTATTGGGACTAAAACAGTTTATTGTGTACATAAATGACATATGCAGATTATCACAGGCATTTAAATCTGTTTTATTTGCAGATGATAACCAGATTATTTTTTCTGGTGTGGAACTGCAACAGGTTTTAACCTATAGGGCATGTTGTGATCTGTGGGGGAAACCAGAGTACCCGGGGGAAACCCACGCATGCATGGGGAGAACCTGCAACTCCACGCAGAAAGGCTGCAGCCAAGTTTGGAACCTGCAACCTTCTTGCTGTGAGGCAACAGTGCTAACAACTGCGCCACCATGCAGCAAGAATGGTTTGATATGAATAAATTGTCACAAAATTTAGATAAAACTAAATGTATGTTATTTGGAAACCAAAAAATATATAATGAGGTCAAGATAGTTATTGATGAAGTGCATATTGAAATAAAATTCCTTGGCGTGATTATAGACAATAAAATGTGCTGGAATCCACACATCAAATATGCCAGGGGGAAGATGGCTCGAGGCATCACAATACTGGGCAAAACTAAGCACATTCTCAATCAGAGAGACCTGTGTATATTATACAGCATGTTACTACTACCATACTTGAGCTACTGTGTAGCGGTCTGGGGAAACGCATACAAAAGTACTACAAAAACAATAACCACAATGCAGGTGATCAGATTACTGTAAATCCTCCAATATTAGCCTGTATTTAATTAACTGCCGGGTATCATATTTTGGCCGATGTCGGAGTCGGCGGAGGTGAATAATGGCCGTTTTTTTATTGTGGCCGGGTGGAATGTGGTAACAAGCAAGTACGGGGGCGGTTGTGTCATCGTCTCACTTTTGATTTGCCAGTGATAGACCGCGAGGGTAACTTTAACACATGCAAAGCTCTGATTGTTGACGCGCTCCAGACATCTGCGTCCTGAGCACGGCCACAGTAACATTATCAAATCAGGTGTCGCCACCTCAAAAACTAATTTAACACGCGATCGTTCATGTCGGCTCATTTCCTTTTATGTTTTCTGTCTTTTACTCTTTTATTTGTGCCTGATGCGTTTCGCTGCTGTGGATCGGGGCGCATCACCTGTTTTGTCCTCGGTGACGCACCTAATTGATGCGGCCGGCAAGCAGCGCACACTCCGCTGTTTTTGCGGTCGGTAGATCTTTTAGAACTGCAGTTCAAAGGTAACTCATAAGGTGAATATATATGAACCCAGGTAGCAGTTTTTCTTTAGAATTGAGAGGAGATGCAGGAAGATAATAAACAGGCAGGACAGAAAAATAGTCAAATAAAAACAAGTTAGTTTTTGTGCCTGGTGGTTGCAACAAACACCATTGAAGGTAATCAGAAGTGAGGAACAGAAAATGAAATAATTATTTTAATGTTTAGAGCAGCAGGAACTCCGAGAGGCTGCAGGCGCATCAGTGAGTTTGCGGCCGCTGCGCAGGGGGAGGGGGGAGAGAGCTGAAGCAGGAACTACCGTTGTTAAAAGAAATGTGTTTAACTTTGAAAATGTGGGCGCAATTTTAATTGTCAAAAACTCCAGCGAACCATTAGTTCATTTTGCTCAAATAGAAATTGAGGCCTCCCTCTAATTCTGGTCCTCTTTCCAATAAAGGCCCGGAGCTTGATGAGCTTGAGTCAAATACAAGCCCGGGCCTGTATTAGAGGATTTATGGTAATAACATATGCAGGATATATGGACCACTCAAATTAGCTCTTTTTTCAAACAAGGACTATAAAATTTCAAGACAGCAACAGCACAAATTTTATATAAAGCAAGGAATAAATTACTGCCAAGAAATATAGAGAAATTGTTCACAGAGAGAGATGGAGGATATAACTCGAGAGGAAGATTAAAGATACATAGGGTTAGAACAATGCTAAAGAGTATGGGTTTAGCAAAGGTAGGAGTTAAATTATGGAATAGCTTAGAAGAGGAAATAAAACTAAGTACAAACATAAACCAGTTTTTAAAAGTTATCAGAAACATTTAAATAATTATAAAGAAGAAAACAGATGACCATTGTGGATTTGCTTCTATTCTGAGGAAGATGCATTATGATTATCATTTGTTATTGTAGATGAAAGAGATGTGAGTTTGCTTTTTGGATGGGTAATTGTTTTAGATTTTTTCTTCTCTTTTTTGTAATTTACAATATAGCACAAGTAACAGATACCATGTAAAGAGGGGTAGGGATATATAAGTTTATACTTCAGGCTACTCCCCTTCAAACAACGGAATGTTGTTGAATCAATGATGATGACAGTAAATTCTGATGGATATGTGTGTTAGAAATTAAAAAAGAAAATAAAGGAAACTTTCTTTTGAGGCGCTTTATATGGCAGAGGTGCTTTTTCTTACTGTTTATCTTCGGCTTGACATGCCTGCCATGTTGGAGGTGGCGCTTGGCCAAGTAGGAAGGCCCGCAGCTCTAAATTACACTAGCTTGAATTATTAGCAGCAGAAGAAGAAAAGATCTTTTCTATAGCGCCTCTCAAGATAAATATCAGGTTTTAGTATCAGGTTATGTAATCGATAAAATGTTTTCCCAACTGTGGTCCCTGATATACGGTGAGAAAATTGTCTCATTACGGATTAGTGATACATTCGTATTCTTTCACAAATGTTAGACAACAGGAAAAGCTCTACTTCCTTCTTTAGTTAATGACACACACACACACACACACACACACACACACACACACACACACACACACACACACACACACACACACACACACGCTATGTTAAATAAACATAAACATGCTCGCAGTTTAAAGGCACCAATTTGCACTTTAATGTTTGTTCCTAACCCTGACATTTACAGCTTTTGACTCTCATGATCTCTTTGTCCACCCAACTAGTGTCTCAAATCGTTAGTTGCCATGGCAACATGTGGATACTCCGAAGACCTTCAACCTCAGCAGGCCAGTGCAGTAACCATAGCAACATCTACTGCTACCACACTCTCGTCTGCAAAGGCTGCACACTTCCTGTCCGAGATACCAACAGCCTCTGGAACAATCTCATCAACCAACCAAGCAGCAGTGGCCTCTAAAGCAGGACAGGATACACTTTGTTCTCAAGCGCCACCCACCCAGAGCCATAAGCCAGTGGGCCTACCGACTCCGCCACAACTTTACAATATCCATCAATCCACAGTTCAGAAGAGTAATGGACATGGCAGTTCTCCCCAGTACATCATAGTAACGGTTACAGGTGAGAGAAGAATTATCACGTACCTATAATACTGTACATTATACCTACTGGACACATTCACAAATAAGATCATTTTGTTATTAGATACCTACTGGCTTTTTGATCATGGCATCCTCACCAACATAACATATTTAATGATAATCTTGAATACATATTAGCTTATAGCAGCTCTGGCTCAGTAGGTGGATTCACTTGCTTATCAAAACGTCAGACACACAGCTGCAGCTCATCCCAGATCTAAGCTAAATCTTTTAATTTTCATCAATCAGCATTAGTTGATGAATTAGTTAATCAATGCCACTTAATAGTATTTGACCAGGGAGTGGATTATATCAAACACTTGTTCATTTCCAATCTCTTTTTGTGTGTTTTTAGATAGAATATTTTTTCCAAATGATTGCACACCAAACAATTTGTCATTTAAACAACAATCAATACTAAGTTTAGCCAGCTTAACCAATGATAACAGTACTAACATTTACCTTTAGACTAAAAAAATTACTGAAATGTGGGAACTTGTGACTTTATTATGCTGCTAAAATAGAAAATGTAATAAAGCAGTTTTTATTTTATTTTCTATTGTCTATTTTAGGGGTCGTGTCATGGAACATCCACTTTTGGAACTTTTTCCCATGTTACATTGTCATTTCCTCATATGAAATACTATAGCATTCATGCATTTTCCTGTCTCAGTTGCAGTTTGGTCCATGTAAAGATTTGTCTTGCATCCAGGAGAAAGTAGCTCACTTGCATCTTACGGCATTTCTCCTCCCTCTGAGTCTGGTCTGGTCTTGTTTCTGAAACCTGGGTTTTCTGTAGATTTTCTGACAAATTACTTCTGCATTTGTGACAAAACATCCATCCATTTATTCATCCATCACTTTTCAGCCGCTTATCCGGGATACAGGTTGCCCTGGAAATTGGCCAAATGCAAGGATGGGAGTAGATTTTCTGCTGGGGTGGGGCTGGGTTAGTGGCCTCGGACTCCATGGGGCTTTGTGATGCTGCTGTTTGGGCCTTGGCGAGATGGGCTGGTTTCTCCATGCACCGGGTCGTATTTTGGGAACGGAGGTGCCTATTTGGGCCAGCGGGGGAGCTGGCTGCCTGAAGGGCTTAGGCCCCCCAGCCGTTCCTCCTATCCCCAGAAATTTTCCTCCTCCTGCTCCCTCACATTTTTAGAACCCAGTGCAAGGTGCTTTTATAGGGTTTTAAATCTTTGCATGGCCTTGCTCCAGATTACTTCTCTGAGCTACTGGTTTTTTACTCCACTGCACTGTCTCTGAGGTCGGCTGATAGGATTCTCCTGGAAGTCCCAAAAATCAAAACGCAAGCTCAGATGTGACAGATATGTAGTGGCCCCTAGGCTCTGGGATTCAATTCAGTTCAATTCTATTCAAAAATATTTTATTAATCTCAGAGGGAAATTGATTGCTGTAGTAGCTCATAATAATAATAATAATCAAGTCATCAATGAGTTATTGTATATTACAATGGCTGTTGGCAGGAAGGATCTCCAGTGGCGGTCAGTGTTGCAGCGAAACTGAAGAAGCCTCTGACTGAAGACACTCTTCCGTTGTCGGACAGTCTTGTGAAGAGAATGCTCAGGGTTGTCCATAATTTTCTTGATTCTCTGGAGAATCCTTCTTTGCATTATCTCCTCCAGTGGTTCCACAGTCGTCCCCAGAACAGAACCAGCCTTTTTTATTAGGCTGTTGAGCCTTTTCAGGTCCCTGCTTCTGATGCTGCTACCCCAACAGACGATGGCTGAAGAGATTACACTCTCAACAGCAGACTTGTAGAAGATGTGCAACATCTTGCTACAGACATTGAAGGACCTAAGCGCCCTCAAGAAGTGCAGTCTGCTGTGTCCCGTCTTGTAAACGGCTTCACTGTTCTTATTAAAGTCCAGTCTGTTGTCCAGGTGAACTCCAAGCAGGGGCGGATCTACAAAATTATTGATGGGGTGGCAGAAGAGGGGCAAACATTTTTCTAGGGTGGCAATACATTTTATATATATATATATATATATATATATATATATATATATATATATATATATATATATATATATATATATATAAATATTTTACTGCAACGAGATATTGTACTTTGGTTTTATTGTTCACTCAGAAACACGTTTTCCTTTTTCTTTTCCCAGTATTTACATATTCATTTGTTTTGGGTCCTCATTTAATAAGTTTAAAGGCCCATCACGAAAATAAAGCACATAATAAAATTATGTCCTTCCTTCAACAGCTGAATGCGGCAGTTTCCATGTTGCTCAGCAAAACAATTTACACATTCATCAAGATCCAAAGATTTTGCCCGTTTTGATTCAATGCTGAGTACAGCCTTGCTTCATAGTCTTTTCTCTGTCAAAGCAGACTGCAAATAGGTCTTCATGAGCCTGAAAGTTGAAAAACTTTGATTTTTCTTGAATTTATAGCTGCCAGCTGGGGTGGCAGCAAGGGTAGCAAGGCTTTCTTTTAGGGTGGCAACTGCCACCCTATGCGACCCTTGTAGATCCGCCCCTGACTCCAAGGTATTTGTATTCCTCAACCACCTCCATGATGGAAACAGTGTTTGACTCCACCCTGTTTCTTCTGAAGTCTAAAATCATCTCCTTTGTTTTGTTCACATTCAAGGTCAGATTATTGTTTTCACACCATGCCACAAAGCGCTCCACCAGCTCTCTGTACTCAGCCTCCTGTCCATCTCTGATACACCCGAAAACTACAAAGTCATCTGAGTATTTCTGTAGATGACAGGTCTCTGATTTGTACTGGAAGTCTGAGGTGTACACAGGGTGAAAAGGAATGGTGAGAGTACAGTCCCCTGTGGTGCTCCAGTGTTACTGATTGCCTGGTTTGATGTGCAGTTTTTCAGCCTCACAAACTGCTGTCTGTTTGTCAGGTAGTCCTTAATCCAGGTGATAGTTGAGGCTCCCACCTGTGTCATCTGGAGTTTCTGGCAAAGTACATCAGGCTGGATTGTGTTAAATGCACTGGAGAAATCAAAGAACACGACCCTCACAGTGCTGCCTGCTTTGTCCAGATGACAGTGGGTTGGTTGAAGCAGCTGGATGATGGCATCTTCAACTCCAACTCCATGGCGATAAGCAAACTACAGCGGGTCCTGATATGTCCTAGTTTTCTTATTCAGGTGGACAAGCAGGAGTCTCTCCAGGACCTTCATGATGTGGGATGTCAGGGCAACCGGTCTGTAGTCATCATTGACTGATGGGCGAGTTTTCTATGGAACTGGAACAAGGCAGGAGGCCTTCCACAGGACTGGAACCTTCTCCTGGGCCAGGCTGAGGTTGAAGAGGTGCTGCAGAATCCCACAGAGCTGCTCTGCACAGGCCTTTCAGTACTCTGGGGCTGACACCATCTGGACCTGCAGCCTTGTTCCTGTTCAGTCTCTCCAGCTGCCTCTTCACCTGACTTCTAGAGACAGATAGGTGGGAGGGGGAGGTAAATGGGGCAGCAGCATCTCCTGACTTGGTTGAAGACAGATTTATAGAACCAGAAGAGTCCATGACTGCGTTAGAGGACAAAAGAGCTGGTGTGTGACAGGAAAATGTTGGATCAGAGGAGGATGGGATGTCTGATTGGCTGGGGACAGGCGAGGAGGATGCTGGATTTGTTCCTGAACTGAACCTATTGAAGAACTTCATTGGCTGTGTCCAGGCTGCCATCTGTGCAATCCTTCCTCTGCTTGAAGCATGTGATCTTCTGCATCCCTGATCAGACATCTCTGATATTGTTCCTCTGTAGTTTGTTCTCCAGCTTCTTCCTGTATGCCTCCTTGCTGTCTCTGATCTTGATGTTCAGTTGCTTCTGTATACTCCTCAATAATTCCCTGTCTCCCTCCTTGAAGGCTTTTTTTTTCTCATTTAACAGATTCTTCAGTTCACTGGTGATCCAGGGGTTGTTATTAGCAAAGCATCTCACTATTCTGGTGGGTATGATGTTGTCCACACAGAAGTTTATATAGTCAGTGACACATCTAGTCATGGCATTGATGTCCTCTTCATAGCCTTGGCAGAGAGTCATCCAATCTGTGGTCTCAAAACAACCCTGCAGGGCTTCTTCAGTGTCCTGTGACCATTTTCTCACAATTCTTCTTGTCACAGGTTGCCTCTGAACAAGTGGTTTGTATTCTGAGCAGAGAAAAACAAGATTGTGATCTGATTGTCCCAGAGGAGGTCTTGGTTTGGACATGTATGCATTCTTTACATTTGCATAACACAAATCCAATGTCTTGGTCAATGTCAAATCCAGTTGTGCTGCCGTTGAGTATTAGGTCAGCCTCTTCACTGTCTGGTTTTAAATCACTTGAAAACCTATTTTTATAATTTGGCTTTTAACTCAGCATGAGTGTTAGTTCTTAAGCGTTAGTTTTTATGAATTTTTATGTTGTGTATTGTTGTTTAATGCTTTGATTTCTGTGAAGCACTTTGGTCGATGCTATGCTGTTGTAAGGTGCCATACAAATAAAGACGCCTTGCCTCACATCATCACACAAACATGCACATAGTACCTTGAGGGATGGGGAAGTCAGGGGTTGTGGGTATGGATCCCATTTCCGCAGTCCTGTGGCAGCCCCCCCCCCTTCCCCCCCACCCCCACTTTTACTGCCACATTTGGTGTGGAGTATGGTGCCTTATTCTACCTGCGTGTCGGGGGGCTTAACACTATTGTGTGTGTTTTTAATATTACCCGTTTCACCCAGCGGGAGACCTCTGAGAAGTGTCATGAAACATCATTTAACCCCTGAAGTGGCTGCAATTTTTATTGATATCTTAGAAAAGATACCTCCTATTGCTTTACCTGCTCCCTGTGGTTTTATTGTGAACAATTTTAACAGCAGGTGTCAGTCCACCCTTGACGGTCTGGCTCCACAAAAAATTAAAAAGATACAGCCTAGACTGACATTCCCATGGAGAAACAAAGCTCTCAGAATCCAAAGAACTGCAGGGTGGCAGAGAGAAAATCGAGGAAAAACCAAATCACTATAAACTATCAGATATACAGAGAAACTCTGAAGTCATACAACAACGCAGTAAGGAACTCAAGGTATGCATACTTTTCCAAAATCATCTCAGAAAATAAAAATAATCCTAAAATCCTGTTTTCCACTATCAATAAAGTTTTTAACAATATTCCTGATGTATCTCAGAAAACACCATCTAACTCTCTCTGTGAGGAGTTTGCAGACCACTTCAGAGGGAATACACACAATCAGATGCAACATTTTATCCTCTCACAGTGACATGGTTTTATCGATATCTGAGTGTGTACCTTTACCAGAGAAAACACTGGACAGTTTTGCCCTGGTTGAGGCTGGAACTCTAGATACAGTTTTCTCCTCAGTGAGGCCCACCACATGCCTTTTAGATCCAGTTCCTACTTCATTTTTTAAGCCATTTTATGAATATTTTAGAGATGAGATTTTAACCATGATGAACTGTTCTCTTCAAACAGGGGTCTTTCCTGCTGCCTTTAAAGGGGCAGTGGTGAGGCCCCTGTTGAAGAAGAGAAACTTAGATTTTAGTGATTTTAACAACTTCAGACCGATATCTAACTTACCATTCTTAAGTAAAATTTTAGAAAAGCTTGTTTTAATACAGCTTAATGATTTTATTATTGCACATATTGTCCTAGAGAAATTTCAGTCTGGTTTTAGAGTAAACCACAGCACTGAGATGGCCCTCTTAAGAGTTTTAAATGACCTAAGAATAAATTATGATGCACAGAAAGTAACTGTTCTGGTTCTACTGGATTTAAGTGCTGCCTTTGACAGTGGACCACAACATTATTTTAACCCGTTAAAACACCGGGGTTTTAAATGTCTTAATGGTCTTGGGCCTTCTTATCTCTCAGAACTGCTTCATAAATACGAGCCTTCGCGATCCCTGTGCTCCTCTGGCAGCCATCTCCTCGTCATTCCAAAAGTCTTAGTTTTTAGCTGATTTAGATCTATTTTAGATATTTCATATATTTTATCAGTGTTTTATTACTTACTCTTTTACTTAAATGACACATATTTTCTTATATATTAATTTAAACTTGTAATAATTATTAGTTTTAACCAGTTTTAATCATCTGTAGAACAATATTTTTATATATTTAATTATATGTTTCTACTTGGTTACCTTTTATCAGTGTGTATTATTTAGATTTTTATTTATCGGGTGTTTATGTTTAGTCTCATTAGTAAACCAGTGTTTCCTCTGTAGGGGCTGGCTGCCCCGGGGGCAGCGGTTGGCTGTGGCTGCCGGGGTGCTTCTCATATCTCCTTTTGCCCGGGCTGCTGCTGCCGGTCCTGCTGCTCCCGGTGCAGTTGGCTCCTTTGATGGCGTTTCTGTCTTCTTTGTGCCTACTACACCTGCGCTCAACCAGCAGCCCTTTCTCTTTTACGTGTGTTTGCATCTGCTTGGGAGGGGATTGAGGGTGGGAGGAGGGTGTTACAAAGGGGATCTCGTATGTGGATCTGTGTGGGAGGCGTGGGAAACCGACTGCTCTCTGGTTGTTTTTAATATTGTAAAGCGCTTTGAGCTGCATTTGTATGAAAAGCGCTTCATAAATAGCTTTGATTGATTGATTGATTGATTGATTGATTGAAATTCCTCAAACAGATCATTAGTGTTTAGATGCTCACATAGTCGATTGGCCTCTATTTTCTCAGGGACTTTAGACAAAATGGAAGGTTAGATATTAGTCTATAATTCATTGGGTCATCTGGATCCCGAAAATATTTCTTAAGTGAAGGTTTGATTACAGCAACATTAAAATCCTGTGGTACATATCCATCTACTAATGAAAAGGTTAGGGTTAGCTATTGAATTTTATTTGGGAAAACTTTTTAAAAGAAGAGAAGTGGCCAATCATACAGTCTTTATTTTATTCATTTGAAGGTCACAAAATACTAATCGTCATTTGCTCAGCCACTGTTGAGCTTTGTTTTCTCCTCCTATTAATCGACCCATGTGTGTCTCTCCTTTCCCTTTCTCATTTGATCTGCATGTTTACAATATGGGGGGATTTTTGTCTCCATCTGGGAAATTAGCTGTCCAAGGCTGTCCTGCTGTATGCAATATAAGGATGAATGGAAAGTTGGACAGTCTCACTCTTCCCTTTCCTGCTTTGCTGAAGCAGAAAATAGACATTTAGTTGCAAGATGTTCTGTGGTGGCAGTTATTATGATTTAGAGGCAGAATGTCGTGAGTACTGGTGGCTTCTTGTTCGATTGAGATTTCTTTAATGATGTGGTGAAAACTCTCTTTCATCCCTCTTCTGTGTTCCACAGAGGGCTCTGGTCACTCTAATGACAGCCTGTCAGACTCGAGCCCACCGGCGCCAGGAATCCCCACTCAGGTGGTCCAACCTGTACAAACCACCCCACAGGTAAGATGCACATTGACATATGCTTCATGGCTGATGTAGCACCTGCCCCTAACAGGAGGATGAGTGTGGGTGAGGTTGTGTCTGACATTTTAGATTGACTTTACCACAGAGGTCGGTGCTGCAGGCAACCAAAAGGCTTCAGACGGCTCACATCAGCAGCCTGCAGCCAGTTCACATCAACCAGGAGGTAAACACAAAAACTGCAATTCACATAGGAACGGGGATTGGAAACAGAATAAATATCTGGTTTAAAGGGCTGCACAGTGAAGCAGTTGTAAGCACTGTTGCTTTGCCACAACAAAGTCCTGGGTTCGCGGCCCAGCCTGGGGTCTTTCTGCGTGGAGTTTGCAGGTTCTCTCTGTGCATGCGTGGGTTCTGTCCGGGTATTCCGGTTTCCTCCCACAGTCCAAAAACATGACTGTTAAGTTGATTGGTCTGTCTGAAAAGGTGTGAATGTGTGTGTGCTTGGCTGTTTGTCCTGTGTGTCTCTGTGTTGCCCTGCGATGGACTGGCAACCTGTCCAGGGTGTACCTCGCCTGTTTGCCCATTGACTGCACACCCCCCCCACCCCAACCCTGCATGGACAAGCGGGTTCAGATAATGGATGGATGGATGGATGGATCTGGTTTAAAGGTGTGGAACACTTGTTTTATCAATACATTTGCTGCGGTCTTTAGTAGGAATGAATGCCTTGTAAGTTGTATTTGGGGAAATGACACAGATGCACCATTTTCAGTAACAAGAAGTGAGCCACATCACAGCTGAGCTTCATACGGCAGTATTTGGAGTCTTATTTCCTTATATTTGGACATCTCACCCCAGATTGGATAACAACAACACGTATCTACCTCTGACTTGCTATGTTGATGATTTATCCCCACAAATAACTCAAGCCTGAAGGTGTTCTGCTTCGGCGAAGTTGCTAATGCTAATGGTTAGCTTCTGCTAGCTGAGGCATTCTCTGCTGCTTCCTGGATGCTAAATCATCAACAGCCTTCCATGTTGCAAGTCAAGATAGGTGAGTCCACACATGTTAAACGACTGTGTGAGATCCGTCAGGCTTTTCCAATCCTCGAGTTTCACCGTTTATTTTCTATCGAACGCTGTTACGTGCCTTGCCCCTTTTTGGCCACAAGATGGCCTCAGTGGCTTCTGCCTCGCCTGTCTCCCGGTCCCAGCTGTTTCTAATAATTATTGATCACTTGACAGCTGTTAAAAGCTGCTCTCTTGCTCTCAGTCGAGGAGAAGGTGCAGGGAAGTGTGGGCACGAAGGTGTTCATACTTCTCTCTTCTCCTCGTGTGCTTGTGTGTGTTTAGCTTCGTGATACTTTGGTGATTTAGTGGTTTTGACTCTTGATAATTAGGATTTCTGATAACTTCGACTTTGGACTGGCCTTCGACTCCCCTTTTGGATTTCCCCCGAGCGTCTCTGCTTACCAGGACGTCTCTTGTTAAATTTAGTGTTTTGTGTTTATATTGAATATTTCAGTTAGTTTCCTCTTCCCAGCCCTTTTGGCTTGGCGCTTTATGTTAGTCTTTTCCCCTTTTGTTTGTATAGGCTCTTTGTGTTTGTTTAATAAAATCCTTATTAGTTATTATTAAACCTACACACGACATCTTTTACTCCCTCCTACACATCACTCCTAGCGAGCTGAGGGACGTAACAAAAGCTAATGCAGGAGATAGGTGTAGGAGACTATTTTCATGTTCAGCCTGCATGAAACACAGATTACAGAAAAGTGACAGAATACAACCAGAAATAATCATTAAAACATCTTAGGTGTGTTCTTGCTGTGTCTTTCTAATTCCATGCTTTCGTTCTTTTTTAAACACAGAAACAGTTTTGTTTACCTGTTTGTAGCTACAGTTTCGCCGACGGCTGCCGGCTTCTTCAGGCTGACGCTGATGGTAGCGCGTCACTTCCTTCTCCGTTTATCTGCGGGCAGCAGAGGATGTTGTCGCCCTCTACTGCCCGCTCTCCCCTCTCCGACGATGCAGTCCCATGCGTGGTCCAGCATGATGGATCAAGGAAGCAATCGAGATAAGGAGACGTGGATGTGGGACCATGAACAGGGACGACGGAGTTTACACGCTGGACCACGCATGGGACTGCATCGTCGGAGAGGGGAGAGCGGGCAGTAGAGGGCGACAACGTCCTCTGCTGCCCGCAGATAAACGGAGAAGGAAGTGACGCACCACCATCAGCGTCAGCCTGAAGATGCCGGCAGCCGTCGGCGAAACTGTAGCTACAAACAGGTAAACAAAACTGTTTCTGTGTTTAAAAAAGAACGAAAGCATGGATCATTAAAACATATTCTTTCAGTGTCCCACACCTTTAAAAACGCTAAGTATTTGTGTTAGCTGTCTATATTACAGTGGTTCATTAAAATTAATAAACACAGGTTTGACCTCCTCTTCCTCATTGTTCAGGTGGAGCATGTATATTCTGGTCCGGTGCAGTACGTGGACGAAGCAGGAGATGCAACTTTCTCCACATCCACCATGTAAGCAATGAGGAGCATCTCACACACACGCGCGGCAGCTTTTTAAACTGAGTTGTGTTTGTGTGTCCATGTTGCGTCTCATCCAGCCGATCCAGCAACTATTCATTCTCCGACTCGCCCCTCTACACTCAGACCGCTCCTTCGTCCTCCTCCCCCTTCTACGACGCCACACCCAGCTCTGAGTCAGACATCGCCACTTCTGTAAACTCACAGCCGGTTGCTGTGGCAACAGCAGGAGCTGGGAGCGGGGCTGCTGCGGCAGGTGGAGGGAGGTTCATCATCCAGGGGAGTTATATGTTGGGGGGAGGAGATGGCGGAGGAGGACAGAGCTACTCTAGTCCAAATTCTCGTGCGCCACCTGCTACAGTGAGTTTAGACACAAGCTAAAGTTTCAATCAATGACAGCAAAGTTTAAAGCACTTACTTTACACATCGCTCACAGGTGCAGTGGCTGCTTGAAAACTACGAGGGGGCTGAGGGGGTGAGTCTGCCGCGCTGCACCCTTTACTACCACTACCTCCTGCACTGCCAGGAGCAGAAGCTTGAGCCCGTTAATGCTGCATCCTTCGGTAAACTCATCAGGTCTGTCTTCATGGGGCTACGCACACGCAGATTAGGAACCAGGTACACACTCACACAAGCTAACAGGAATGGTGCTGGACCACACCCATAACCCGGGCTGCCGTTGTGACGTTTTCCCCATGTTCATTGCAGAGGAAACTCTAAGTACCACTACTATGGCCTGAGGATCAAATCAGGTTCTCCTTTGATCAGACTCATGGATGAACAGCAACACATGGCCATGAGGCAGCAGCCTTTTTCACAGAAGAGCAGGTAGAAGTTTGGACCGTTCAACATGTCTGCTTTAATTTCTGAAATGTTTTCAGTATAAAGTCACAAATCAAGTGTTTGGGTTTGTTGGACATGATATTAATGTTAGAATATAACGAGTTTTGGTGTTTAAAATATTACAACATCACAGGTTCTACAGCACATTTGACACATATCAGCATTTTTATCCATAAGGGTTATTCTAAGTGGGCTATTGACCCAAAACTTCCACCAGATGTTGCCATCAAGCCAAATACTAAATTCATACAAAGAAATCAAACATTTAAGAAAACAAACTGAGTCATAATGAAGTAAGTGAAAGGACACAGCCCTCCCTGGGCTGCCACCTTATTGTGGTGGAAGGGTTTGAGTGTTCCAGTGATCCTAGGTGTTAAGTTGTCCAAGGCTTTATGCCTCTGGTTGAGTCACACATGGCAAACAGGTCCTAGGTGAGGGATCAGACAAAGTGCAGCCCACATACCCCTTATGATAACAAATATAAATGAAAACAGTGTTCCCTCACCTGGGCGCAGGTCACCAGGGCCCCCTTCTGGAGCCAGGCCTGGAGGTGGGGGACGTTGGCGAGCACCTGATTGCAGGGCTTTCCCCCATGGAGTCTGGCCGGGCACAGTCCGATAAGAAAACATGGGTCTCCCTTCTCATAGGCTCCCCATTTGTGAGAGGGGCCAAAGGGGTCGGGTGCAAAGTGTGATGGGTGGTAGCCGAAGGCAGGGACTTTGGTGGTCTGATCCTCGGCTACAGAAGCTGGCTCTTGGTACATGGAATGTCACCCCTCTGGTGGGGAAAGAGACTAAGTTGGTGTGTGAGGTTGAGATGTACCAACTAGATATAATTGGACTCACCTCAGTGCATGGCTCTGGCTCCGGAACCAGTTTCCTTGAGAGGAGCTGGACACTACCACTCTGGAGTTGCCCCTTGCACATCCAAGAACATTAATGTTCAAATCAGGGAAACCCTTGCACACAAAAGACCCTAACCATTGATGGCTCTGATGGTCTGCTTTACCGTGAAGATGTCAATGTCAAATTTATTTATAAAGAACTTTAGAAAACAACAGAGCTGCACCAAAGTGCTGTACAGCAAAAATGAAACCAATGCAAGCAAACAATCACAACATAACTATAAAATAGCAATAAAACGTGATCATAAAAGCAAAACGTGATCATAAAAGCAAAACGTGATCATAAAAGCAAGTATAAATAGTAAAAAGATAATAAAAATCCTAAGATTAAAAGAAAAAAGAGCAATGTCAATACAAGGAGCAAACACAGGCTCTACTTGCTAAAAGCCATGGAGAAAAAGTGATTTTTTTAACGGCTTTTTAAAGTCTTCCAAACTTTGAGCTGATCTAATATTTAAAGGTACACAATATTACCATTTCTCTCAAACATTGTTCACAAATCAGTCTAAATGTGTGATAGTGAGCACTTCTGCTTTACTGAGATAATCCATCCCACCTCACAGATGTGCCACATCAAGATGCTGACCTGACATCATGAGTAGTGCACAGGTGTACCTTATACTGCCCACAATAAAAGGCCACTCTGGAATGTGCAGTTTTTTGCTTTATTGGGGGTCTGGGGACTCAGAACCGGTCAGTATCTGGTGTGACCACCATTTGCCTCATGCAGTGCAACACATCTTCTTTACATAGAGTTTATCATATTGTCAATTGTGGCCTGTGGAATGTTGGTCCACTCCTCTTCAATGGCTGTGCAAAGTTGTTGGATATTATTGGGAATTGGTACACGCTGTCGTATACGCCGGTCAAGCACATCCCAAACATGCTCAACGGGTGACATGTCCGGTGAGTATGCTGGCCATGCAAGAACTGGGACATTTTCAGCTTCCAAGAATTGTGTACAGATCCGTGCGTGACTTTCACCCGGGAGTCTGGGGATCGAATCCTTATCGGATCTTTTTTTTTTATATCCTCCACATATCTCTCTGAAGAACTCAGCATTGACGGCTTCAGCAACGCTGTGCCACTCCGGATTTTCTCTTATTTGTTTTGCAAAAGCACTTCCTTTCATTTCTCCACCTCACCCACAAGTACCTGAATTTCTGCTTGTGAAATAGCGCTTCCTTCTAAATACTGCAACAAGCCAGGTTATGTATATGCATGAGATCCACAAGGCACTTTGCATTGACTATTTATGGCAGTAAGTGGGCGTGGTGAGGGCGGGATGTGATTAAAAAGCAGCTGAGAACCATTCTCGTTAGTCTCCGATTTATGAAGCGGAGATTGTGTGCAGCTGTGCGTACTCCATGTTTGATAGATCACAAACCTGCTTGGCGTAAGTACTTTTTTTTTTTGCTGAGCTTAAGTAAGGTTTTAGTAAGGATTCTATGCAATTTTTGATAAATGAGACCCCAGGTGTTTAAACCATGTAACTGTTTGAATGTCCTACCCAGACACACAGACATTGGATTCACAATGAAATAAAGTGTTCATTTAGCTAAAAACATACAAACTGTCTTCTTAACATTGAGATACAGCTGTGAGCAAGTGAGCCGTTTATGTACATGCACCATTGTATCGCTAAGCTTAGCAGCAGCTTGGGCTTTAGTTTTTGCATGGACATATATGACTGTATCATCAGCATACATCTGCACCTCACATCCAGTGCACACTGATGGCAGGTCATTTATGTAAATGCTGAACAGAATTGGACCCTGGACAGATCCCTGGGGTATAGCTAATTCGTTCCTCAATGGTGTCGATGTCTCACCTTTAACTCTCACACACTGAACTTCTGTTTGTAAAATTGGCAAATCAGAATTTGATACGTTTAAAAGGCATTACCAAAATACCTCAGAAGTCATGCCTTCTCTCAGAGGTTAACTCTTAGTGTGAAGTGAAAATGTTCTTAACAGTTATGTGAAGCGAAAATGATAAACAATAATAATAATCTTATTATTATGCGTATGAGTATACTGATAAATTAACATTAAATCAACAAACACTAATCTAGTGTAGTTTAAGATCTGAAATAAATCATTGCAATAAAAATATTCATTTTAACATATTGTTGATTAATGCACAGATTATTCAAACACTGGGATTTAAACATCTTGTTCATTCAACACAACAGTCAGGGACCAACAGACAGACAATAGCCTGGTAGGGCTGCCACCTTGCACATTGTTTATCTAACCCAACCCGGTCCCTAACCCTGAATGATAAAAATGCCGATGTGTCAAATACTTATTCTCCCCGCTGTATATTTATATATTGTTTGTGGTATCTGCGTCTGATAGGATAAAGCCACTGCAGAAAGCCCAGGGGATCGCCAATGGGATGGCAGGCGGAGCCAATCAGCTGCAGGGAGCAGCACTCAGTGATATTTCAGCCCAGGTTCACCAGTACCAGCAGTTCATGGGTCAGAAACTCACATCCTGACAGTTTTTTTAAACACTTAATTTCATTTTGTTCTGATTTCCTGTTTCACAGCTTGATAGGATTTCTGTTTGAACTCAGAAACCATTTGACTTTAAAAGTCAGTCGGCTGTACATGTGCATCATACATAAACTTCACTAAAGATTCAGGCAAAAACCGTAGTGTCCACCTTTCCCATGCAGATGACAACTGTGCTGTTTGTTTTGGTTGTTTTGTGTAGAGGCATCAAAGCCCCTGCAAGACTTTGTGGAAATGGATCTAGAAGGTCAAACTCTGCCTAATGGGATCGTTTTAGAACAACTCAAGGCCTTTCAGACTCTGTACAGGGAGCATTGTGAGGTAGGTTGCCAACAGGACTCCTTCACTGATCGTTACATTCCAATATTTCATGTTTATGTTTTATGCTGTTGCTGCTGTTTAAAATTACATATTAGGATTTCAGACAGGGTTTATGTTTCTTGCCAAAAGCAAACAGTAGTTAAGTGACCTCCATTGTGTTCTATGTGACCCCTGTAGGCTATTCTGGATGTGATGGTCAATCTTCAGTTTACGCTTGTTGAGATGCTGTGGAAATCATTCTGGAGGTTCAGCCAGAGTGTCGATGCGGAGTCCACCAGCCTGTAAGTGTCCAGATCTCACATTTACCGGGTGGATTTGGTTTCATGTATAAAGGTGTGCCTGTTTTCTGCTGCAACAGGCACACCGAGTCTGAGAAACGCCTGCCCAGATCCTGCCTGGTGGCACTCTGCAAGTTTGAACCAGTCCTACACTGGACAAGAGCGTGTGATAACCTGCTATACCAGACTCTGGTGGAGATTCTTATCCCTGACGTGCTCAGACCAATTCCTAGTGAGTCGCCCATTCCTGCAAGTGTTTTTTTATTTATTTATTTTTGTAGTTTAGAACTGAGAGGGAAGTAAGCTTCGTGTCTGCTGTGTTTAAATAAAACATTAATAAATGAAATGTAAATAAATTAAATTTAAAGATACTGACCAGGGGCAAATTTCCTTTAAATGGCTTGTGTAAAAAGTAATAAAACCTCAACTGTAAAAAAGGTTTAGATTCCCACAGCTGGATTTTAAGAAAATTTGGTGTTTTTAAAGAGAGCTGCAAAAAACTAAGAGCTTCTTGTCTGAGCTCTATCTAGCTCCTTAAGTAATACTAGGTTTTTCCTCAGGAAGCTAGTGTAAACAACCTGCAGCTGCAGTTTTTCTGCATTATCAGTACGGCAGACATCCCTAGCCCTGTTCGTTTTAGAATCCAGCACAAGGTGCTTTCTTTGTATGGCCTTGCTCCAGATTACCTCTCTGAGCTACTGGTTCTTTACTCCCCTGTACGGTCTCTGAGGTCGGCTGATAGGATGCTCCTGGAAGTCCCAAAAACAAGACATAAGCTCAGAGGTGACAGGGCTTTCTCTGTAGTGGCCCCTAGGCTCCGGAATGCACTGCCTTTGAGCATTAGGTCTCTCTCAATTGGAATGGAATCCGTATCGGATCTAAATATTCCGATTGGCGTGTTTACATGAAGAAGTTTTGATCTGATAGGGCAGGGGTCGGCAACCTTTTCCCATCAAAGAGCCATCATTACCTGTTTCCCACAGTAAACAATACACTGGGAGCCACAGCAGTGTTGTTGGTGGGTCTACCGGGCCCACTGAGCAGATGCCTCCTTTTAAAACATGTTTAAACTGTTCAAACTACAAACTCAAGCTCTGTCTTGTTAGATTGTTGTAATTTAACTTGGTACTGAACAAAACTTTAAACAAGGTTGAAAAGATAAGAACAGGATCTGATCAATTTGTTTTCTTTTTCCTCGTTTACAGTGACGGAGATAACGGAGCAGTGTTCACGGCTCTGTTGATAATCAAGCTGAATTATTTTTCTTTGCATCAATCTTCACAAGAATGCAAAACAGTTAATTGGCGGGGTTCGCACTGACCGGATATTTCCCATATTTGAATGTTTATTTTGACAGAGAAACCTCAAGGTCATATTGAAAAAATTACCCCGACGCATGCAGATGCACTGACATTTTAATCATTCGGAACATCGCAGGGGTAGCTAAATCAAACAAGAAAAGATCTCCATCATAACATCTGAGCATTATACTGGACACTGTGCTCATCACAGCTCATTGTCAGCGCACACGTAAGGTGAACAGCGAGCTGAAAATATGGAGAGAGGCTTGGAGCGCATCAGTCACAGGCAGCAGCAGAACCAGAGCGCATGCGGGAAGATTCCTCTTACTGAAACGAGTGTTTTCCAAACCCTGTCTCTCAGAGAGATTTGTCACTTAGAAAATGTTCCCTGATTATGACAGATTGGCTGATTAGTGCTTGTTCCTGTTTCCAATGTGGCGATGCATCCATGAGCCTGCCTGTCAGTAAAAGGTTTCCTATATAAGAAACCCAGAATTTGCATCGAGTCACTGACTAGTGTCAGTCTTTACAGCAATCCTCATACTAAGCAAGCGTCTAGTGACAGCGGAGAGAAAAACTCCCTTTTAACAGGAAGAAACCTCCAGTGGATCCTGCATCTGCCACGACTCACTGGGTACTGAGAGTTAGGAGAGAGGTTATTATATATAATAGTAAAACAATTTGGTCCAAGAACTGAACCCTGTTATACTCCACAAGTATGGCATATAACCCATACACATGGAGTATAAAGCTAGAGTATGAAGATGTCTCATGCACATGAAAGGACTGAAGTCTGTTAGACAGATCAGATTTAAACAGTTAAGTGCTGTTCGTTTGATACCTAAACGAGGGTTGGATCATAGATTGGCTGCTAAATCAAGAGCTCACCTTCCAGCTTTGCTCTTCCTTTACCACTGCAGATCGGTACAATGCCCGGATAACTGTAGATGCAGGACCAATCTGCCTGTTACTTTCATGCTCCATCTTTACCTCACTCGTGAACAAGACCCCGCAATACTTAACCCTCTGGAGGCAGGCGTTGCAGATTTGCAACAGTTAAAACCTACCTACCTGGTTACTCCACGTACGTATTTCATGAGCATTTTTTAACTCAGAAGTACCCCTGAAGGACTTAGTTGTTTGTCCTTTTATGAAAACTTATTTTGAGCCTGAGAGGGTTAAACTGCTCCACTTAAGGCAGGACCTCATCTCTTTTGTTTTCTCGTCTCGCTCAGTGGGGGTCATCGGTGGTGCAGCTTGGTTCAGGTCCTATTTAACTGACCGTACATTCTACGTCCCCCAAGGCTCTGTTCTGGGCCCCCTCTATTGTTCTGGGCCCCCTCTATTCACACTGTACCTGCTCCCTCTTATCTATTTTTAGAAAGTATGGGATACTGGGACCGCTGGAGATAGGCACCAGCCCCCCCCCATCCCCGGCGACACTACATGAACAAAGCGGGTTCAGACAATGGATGGATGGATGGATGGATGGATGGATGGATGGATGGATGGATGGATGGATGGGATACGGGGCTGCCAACTGTCATGCATTGAGCATGAGATACATGCATTTGACCCTCTTCACATGCTCTCACGCCACACCTCCAACATCTCACGCTGAACCTCGTAACGGTCCTCCCCTCCTCCCAGCTCTCATGCATTAAAAAGTTGGCAACCCTGTGAGATATTTTTTCATTGCCATGCGGACAACACTCAAATGTATTTCCCACTTAAAAATCTAGCTTGAGTTCTCTAAAAACCCTGTTCCCATGTTTGGGTGACGTAAAAGCCTGGTTAGCCAAGAACCTTTTAAAGCCAAATGAAGACACTGGTCCATGGTTTGGTTTGATTAGGGTTACTATTAGGGTTGGTATTTCAGTTTCTGATATTTGATTCTAAAAAGAAACCCAAAGTGCAATGAATCATACATGTCATACAGGATCATATTGAAACATGATATGTGTTAATCTGTGATTAGTTCTGAAATACTTTTACAGGATTAGCCTGACAAACTGCTAATTCTCATGATCGTAAAATGTTCAGAGTATACACAATGCCTGTCTGCTAATAACAAAACTCCTACAGGTGCCTTAACTCAGGCCATCCGTAACTTTGCCAAGAGTCTGGAGAACTGGCTGACAGGTGCCATGATGAACATTCCAGAGGAGATGGTTCGCATAAAGGTATTAGTATTTGTTTTATTACAATATGAATGATAATGACCCACACTTGTATAGTGCCTTTCAGAGTAAGGACTCCAAAGCACTTTACACTACAGTGTATCATTCATCCACACACACACATTCACATACTGATGGTGATGAGCTACGATGTAGCCACAGCTGCTCTGGGGCACACTGAAAGAGGCAATAGACTAGATGATGGTGAATGACAAAAACGGTAAAACATGGTAGAAAATCAAAATGAGTGTTTAAAAGTTTCATCACGTCTGTTGTCAAAGCCAAAGGCTGTACAACTCTGTTGTGTCTCTTTTTCTGTGTTCATACATGAGATCCTCATCTGTTCTCCAGACAAGCTGGTTCCCAAAGTCAGAGACTCTCTTGGTCAGCTTGCTTCTCACACCAAACCTTCTGTCAGGAATCTTGGCGTGACCTTTGACCCAGCTCTCACCCTGGATTCTCATGTCAGTTCTCTTGTTCGCTCTTCCTTCTTCCATCTCAGGAACATTGCTAAGCTGAGTCCCATTCTGTCTCGCTCTGAACTTGAGACTGTTCTCCACACCTTCATCTCCTCACGCTTAGACTACTGTAACTCTCTTTTCACGTGTCTGAGCAGAACCTCCCTGAATCGTCTACAGGTGGTTCAGAACGCCTGTGCTCGGCTTCTGACCAAGTCCTCCAAACACACCCACATCACCCCGCTTCTCCTCCAGCTTCAATGGCTGCCAGTCTACTTCAGGGTTCATTTCAAGATCCTGGTTCTGGTCTACAGGGCCTTACATGGACAAGCACCATCTTACATTGAATTAAATTCAATTCAATTTGATTCAAGTTTATTTATATAGCGCCAAATCACGACAAGAGTCGTCTCAAGGCACTTCACATAATAAACATTCCAATTCAGGTCAGTTCATTAAGCCAATCAGAAATAAGGTTTCCTATATAAGGAACCCAGCAAATTGCATCAAGTCACTGACTGGTGTCAGTGACTATACAGCAATCCTCATACTAAGCAAGCATAAAGCGACAGTGGAGAGGAAAATTCCCTTTTAACAGGAAGAAACCTCCAGAGAATCCTGGCTCAGTATAAGCAGCCATCCTCCACGACTCACTGGGGATCAAGAAGACAGAGCACACACACACCACACACACACACACACACACACACACACACACACACACACACACACACACACACACACACACACACACACACACACACACAAAGACAAGCAATGTGTCTATTGTTACATTGTGATTTCTTAGTAAATATTCTATTTGGTGAAAGATAAACTTTATTGTATTTATCCTAGTGGATCTATAATTAAACGGATAAACTAGCAGTAGCACATCCAACGTCAAGGAAAGCAAAAAGTTATCAGGAGAGGGAGAATGATTTAGTGGTTAGCAGCAGTGTGCTAGAGATGGCCCCCTCCATGAGGCCACCACAGCTCAGCAGACTATCATTGTAGCTTCTTCTGGGGAGAAAAACACTTAGAGAAAATAAAGTTAACAGCTGAAATTGCAGAAAATAATACAGTGAAAGAGCAGACTGTAGAAGAAAGCAGTAGAGTGTGAAAAGTGGTCAGTGTGTCCTCCAGCAGTCTAAGCCTATAGCAGCATAACTACAGAGTTAACTCTGGATAATCTATCCTATTTAGATGGAGGCATGTTGGAGTCAGGGCAAGGGAGAGCCGTCTTTACCGACTGTACACTCCACCTCCCTCTACTCCCCCATTTGTCCAGATTTAGGCTAACATCAGATTTTACCCATAGGCCCTATCAAATAAAAATGTTTTAAGCCTATTCTTAAAATTAGACAAAGTGTCTGCCTCACGGACTAAAGCTGGGAGCTGGTTCCACAGGAGAGGAGCCTGATAACTAAAAGATCTGCCTCCCATCCTAATTTTAGATATTCTGGGAACCACCAGTAGACCTGCAGTCTGAGAGCGAAGTGCTCGGTTAGGAACGTATGGAACAATCAGATCACTGATGTATGATGGATCTTGATTATTAAGAGTTTTATAAGTGAGAAGAAGGATCTTAAAATCTATTCTGAATTTAACAGGTAGCCAATGTCAGATAGAAAAGTGCTTTATAAATAAAATGGAATGGAATGGAATGTTATCTGAGGTAAGATGGCCGCTGTTTAGCTACGCCCTCGACTCCTGCTTTTTCCATCTATTATCTATGGAACACAGTGGGTGGGAGTTTTTTTTTAAGATGGAGGTCATCTTCCCCAGCATCCTCCTTTCACACGTCTCCTCAACTGAATCCAGTGGGCAGCTCAGAACTGAGCTAGCATTGTGAACTAGCTTGTTCAGTCTCTTCCTGTCTTAGGTGGTTATACTCACAAAGTCCATAATGACTGGCCTGTACTCCAGGCCATTCCCCTCAGACACTCAGCCAACAATGGCCAAGTCATCAGAGAACTTCAGGAGATGACATCTGCTGGTGTTATGGGTGATAAGGTGTAGAAGGTGAAGAGAAAGGGTGAGAGCACCATACCCTGTGGAGCTCCAGTACTGCACACAACTACCTCAGATGTACAGTCGTGCAGCCTCACGTACTGTGGCCTGTTGGTGAGGTAGTTGATGATCCTTTCAGTCAGATGTTCATCCACTTTTGCACCCCTCATCTTCTGCTGCAGTAGGCACGGCTGGATAATGCTGAAGGCTCTTGAGAAGTCAAAGAACATGAATCTCACAGTGCTCTTTTGCATCTCGAGCGAGAGCCCGGTGCTGCAGGTAGATGAGCGTGTCCTCTTCCCCCATGTTTGGATTATGTGCAAATTGCAGTGGGTCTATTTCCGGGATCACCACTGAACATAGATGGGTGAGGATGAGCCTCTCCATAGTCTTCATCAGATGGGAGGTCAAGGTGACAGGTCTGTAGTGGTCTAGTTCCCTTGGATGTGATGTTTTGGGAACTGGAACCACACAGGAGATCTTACACAGGATGGGGACCTGCTCCAGCTGAAGGCTCAGGTTGATCTTGTGCGTGACCACTTCACAAAGCTAGTGAGCACAGTCTTTGAGCAGTCTAGCGCTGATTCCGTCAGGACCTGCTGCTTTCTTGCTCTTAAGCCACCTCAGTTCTGTCCTCACCTGGTCAGATGTAACTGATATAACTGTCATTGTTTATAATACTATAAATATGTGACATGACTGATAATAAAATCATTAACTCATCAAGTCGAATAATTTGGTGTATTTAAGATCCAAAAGAATGCATTTCAATATTAGTTATTTTTATTCATCATTTCTTTGAAGCTATCTTATCTTGTTAAATTCACTTTAGATAAAACATTCGTTGTTTTATGATTGTAATTAATCTGTAAAATGAGAAAATCGTCTCATAAAACAGAGTAGGATTCTATTATTAAGGTTAATAGTCCTGTCTTATGAAGGAGCAGTCTTCATCAGAGATAAGAAAGCAGGAGAGGAATTTTGTTATGGCGGCTCCCCCAGATGGGGAGGCTATAAAAAGAGCTTTTGTTTCTGTTTGGAAAGCACACAGTTGACCTTTAGGTAAATCAAGATCTTTAGGCATGCACTGCCTTTTTATGCTACAAATTTTTTAATCACAAATTGATATTTTTTGTCATTTTAAACATATTTTTAATCATTTTTTAAAATAATTTTTATATTTATAATCTTCTGAAGAGTTTTATCTTGAGAGGCGCTATATAAAAGATTGTTTTCTTTCTTTCTTTCGTTACATTTTTATAGCTGTTCTCTTGAACTTTCAGTGATTTGATTATTTTATAACCAATTTTGTTCTGTTTTAAAGTCCTGGGTTTCCTCTCCTCACTTTTATCTTTCAGGTAGTGTGTATTGGCTCCTTCTCCCAGACGCTGCGTCGCTACACCAGCCTAAACCACCTGGCACAGGCCGCTCGCGCCGTCCTCCAGAACACCGCTCAAATCAACCAGATGCTGTCTGACCTGAACCGCGTTGACTTCACTAACGTACAGGTCAGTTGGTTCTGCTGCTCTGGTCCTTCCACCTGTTCCTACGAGGTGGTGTTTGAAGTGTCCCATGTGCCTTTCAGGAGCAGGCATCCTGGGTGTGTCAGTGTGAAGACCGTGTGGTCCAGCAGCTGGAGCAAGACTTCAAAGCGACTCTGCAGCAGCAGAACTCTCTGGAACAATGGGCTACCTGGTTGGACAGTGTTGTTTCCCAGGTTCTAAAGCCCTATGAGCAGAACCTTGCTGCCCTGCCAAAGGCGGCCAAAGTCTTTCTGCTTAACTGGTCCTTCTATAGGTAACAGCAAAAACAAATGATCAACTGTTGTTGGTAATTGTTGTTTTGGTAACAATTCCTGAATCATTTGCTTTCTCACCAGCTCCATGGTGATTCGCGATCTCACTCTGCGCAGTGCTGCAAGTTTTGGCTCCTTTCACTTGATCCGCCTGCTGTATGATGAATACATGTACTACCTGATTGAGCACAGAGTGGCCAAGGCTAAAGGAGAGACACCCATAGCTGTCATGGGAGAAGTATGTACCTGTTTGTGTAGCCCCTCCCCAGTAACTTCTCATTGACTGTGTTGAAATATAGGGACACAATTATTTTTAGGACCAGTCTTATTCAGTCCACCTAGGCAGGTTTCATCCTTGACCTGTAGTTTTCTTGGAGCACTACTTAGACTAACTCTGGTCCCTGCTCCATTGAGGGACCTGGCACGGCTGATCAACGAAAACAGCAGCAAAGGCACCAACCCAGGGTGCCCAGGGACACACCTTTGAAAATGACAAAGGACACATTCTGGACAGAGATGGTTTTAGAGAAGAGTAAAAGAAGCTATCTATGTCAAATGTGAAAAACCTACTTTAAATGGGGGTGGGGCTTAGATTTCACCTTTCCAGTTCCTATAATGCAGCTTTGAATATAATTCCTAAGCAGTTTCAGTCTAGGCCACACCTTCCTGTATCTAATTCAATTCAAGTTCATTTATATAGAACCAAATCACGATAAGAGTCATCTCAAGGCACTTTACGTTATAAACATTCCAATGCAGTTCAGTTCATTAAGCCAATCAGAAAAAATAAATAAATAAAAGTTTCCAATATAAGGAACCCAGCAAATTGCATCAACTCACTGACTGGTGTCAGTGTCTTTACAGCAATCCTCATACTAACAAGCATTTAGTGACAGTAGAGAGGAAAACTCCCTTTTAACAGGAAGAAACTTCCAGAGGAACCTGGCTCAGTATAAGCAGCCATCCACCATGACTCACTGGGGATCGAGAAGACAGAGCGCGCACGCACACACACACACACACACACACACACACACACACACACACACACACACACACACACACACACACACGCACGCACGCACGCACGCACACACACACACACACACACAGTAGTGTTTCTATGGTGTGGAAAGTGGTCAGTGTGTCCTCCTGATTTGTTTGGTTTCGTTGGTGTTCAGGGTCAGGTTGTTAGCTGTACACCAGTCCACCAGCTGCTGCCTCTCTTCCCTGTATGCTGACTAATTTCACTGGCTGATTAGGCCCACTACAGTTGTATCATCAGCAAAAGTACAGGAGGGGACTCAGCACGCAGCCTTGTGGGGCACCTGTGCTGAGGGACAGAGAGGAGGAATGGTGGTGGCCTAACTTAACCGACTGTAGTCGGTTTGTTAAAATTTCTTGTATTCAGAGGCAGATGTTTTGCTTGAGGCCAAGGCCAGACATCTTGTGGAATAGTCTGCTGGGGAGGATTTTGTTTAATGCAGAGCTGTAGTTCACACATAGCAGCCTTGCACATGTACCTGGTTGTTCCAGCTGTGTCAGAGCTGTGTTGAGGGTAGTTGTAGGCATATTGGTTGGCGTCCTGTGTGTGTGCGTGTGTGTGTGTGTGTGTGTGTGTGTGTGTGGCGGGGGGGGGGGGGGGGGGGGGGGATTGTGTCAGCCTTATGTTGCAGCAGTAGTCTCGCCATGCGCTTCATAATGAGAGGAGTTAAAACTGCAGGCCTGTAGTCATTATGTTTATGTATTTAGCAGACGCTTTTGTCCAAAGCGACTTACAAGTGATAATCGGCATGTTGCCCTTGAGGCTAACAACAACAATAACAACAACTTGACATCAATCATGGAGAGGAGGGAACAAGGAGTGGACGTTAGAGAGGGGGGACGGGTGCAGGGAGGGTGCTAGTTAAGAAGATGCTCTCTGAAGAGCAGGGTCTTCAGGAGTTTCTTGAAAATTGAAAAGGAAGCCCCTGTTCTGGTAGTGCTTGGAAGGTTATTCCACATCTGTGGAACGATGCATGAGAAGAGCCTGGATTGTCCTGAGCGTGGTGTAGGCACTGCTAGCCGACGATCCTGTGATGACCGGCCTCAACATCATTATTCACACTCACATTAAACAGTAAAAGATCATAAGACCGCAAATATATACACAGTAAAAACACACATGCAAAGAATTGTATTTAGGGTTTTAACTAAAGTGTTTTTAAAACTGCAATGTAAAGCAAATATTGTGCTTGTAGTTTAGCAGAACTGGTTAAGATTTTTGGTGTCAGTTACATGTTGTAGTCATTGTGTCAGACGCACAAGGAATTGTGTGTAACCAGTTGAGAAAAGTGTTACTTTAAAATGTAGCCTTGGAAAGACACACCGCCTGAGTTTGGAACATGTCCACAATTTAACCTCAACATTTTCTGTTGCAGTTTGCCAGCTCCATCAAAAGCAGAAACACTCCCGATCTGGATAAAGGTAAAATAAATCCACCTCACGGAAGTTTTTGTTTTCTCTGTTATGACTTTTTGATGACTTTCTTGTGTTTCTTCATCAGAAGATGAGGAAGAGGATGAGGAAGAGGAGAGTGAGGAGGAGAATGGAGAGATTGTGCTGGTGTCTAGCTCTCTGAGTAAAGTCAGTGAAGTGAAGGAGATGATGCAACCACCTGCCAAGCAGCCCAAGACAAGTTTCAACCTACACACTCTCCCCGAGACCCATGGCACACCCCCTTAACCAATCAGCTGTGTTACTGACTCACACCTTTACTTTCATTCATCCTTTACTGAAAAAAATTGGGCCACCCCGTGACTGTTTAAGGGTAGCAACGTGTGTGTGTGTGTGTGTGTGTGTGTGTGTGTGTGTGTGTGTGTGCGTGCGTGCGTGCGTGCGTGCGTGTGTGTGTGCATACAAGATTCTGGCTACAAAGTCCAAGTCGCACATGATGAGTCAACACATTCACACACCCAAAGCGTCAAATATTGACGCGTGTGACCAAGCCTCAAAATGTGACGATTAGGAAGCCCCAGTGCGTCGGGAGAGGACACGCAGGGACACGTGTCACCGGGAGCTTCAGTATCCGACGCCCGCAGTGGCACGGACATTATTCCTCGAACCTCTAGCGATTTAACCTTCCACTCACCCCCATCCTAACCTTAACTCAGTCTTTTCCTGGCACTCGCAGAGTACAGATGCTTCTCTTTTTGCTCCCTTATCTTTTTGTTCCAAGGCTCTTTGTCCTGTCTGCCCACAGAGCACTTCTCTGCATTTCTTCTGAAAACCCCTATTTTTAACCATGGATTTGATAAATTGGTCATTCAACGCGATTGATAAGATTTTTTCAACAATGAGAACGGAGCAGGGGGCTCCCACATGCCCGCAGTGGACACAGCTGGCGGGGTATATGCTGGATTCCTGGAAGGAGTGGAAGATCCCAGCTGTCCATTGAGGACGTCAAAGATGTGTGGATATTTGGCCTGATGATCACTGGATTTCTCCTGATTGGAGTGGGAGGATATCTGGTTTTCTGGAAATTTGGGAAGATGGGAGCGATTGGAGGGCGACCCGCACCCAAGGAAAGCACCATCCGTGTGGAGACCTCACAGACTGTGACGTTACTCGAGGTGAATCGTAAGCTGGACAATGTTCTAGCTGCGATACCGGTATTAGTGCGCTAAATGGATGTCGTCTCGGAGAGGGTCACCGGACGGTATGGACAAGTTTAAAAACCTAAATTGGCTTCACTGAAGGACTGGAATGATCAGTAAAGACTGAAGGCAGAGAGGAAAATTATCTCAGCCTGACCCAAACAAAGTCTTGTTATCCGAATCTGAGCCAGAGCAGCCTTGAAATGCTAACAACAAACCCCCACGAAGGAATGCAGACAGATGCTGTGAAACCCCCCCCCCCCCCCCCTTCGGATTGGTGGACTTCAGCCTGGCGAGGTCATCAACCTGCAGGAGTCAATGTGCTCTGCGCTTCTCCCGAGAACTCCCTCCCACCTGTGGCTACAGTGGCTGAGCGCCGTACACGGCTGCTCTCGCTGGGGAAACAGGATCCCAGGCCCCCCCCCCCCCCCCTTCCTATTGGAGTCTCATGTTATGTTGTGTTGTCTGACGTCTGTTGCTTATCTGTTTGAGGTGTTTTTTTTTGCAGAGCAAAGCTGCCCTCCTGGTGGGAGGGTAGCTATGAAGTGCCTTTTTTTCCTTCCTCCCGAATCAGTTCCTCATGTAACCCTCTTATCTCTATTAAGGTAGCGCGACTCAGGGTTGCGAATGACCACAGTCACCAATTCTTGTCATGTGTCTTGCCCATGTATGACTGATCTCTGAATTGTGTGTACTGAAACTCTAATTTCCCTCTGGGATGAATCAAGTATCTTTGAATTGAATTGAATAAGCTTTGCATGCGCAACCTAGTTAAGGTTAGAATGGGGGTGAGGGGAAGGTTATGTAGTTCACAAGACGGTCAAATGTCCATCTCACCATGGGCGTCGGATACTGACGCTCTGGCACAGCGCGTCCTCTCCCGACACGCTGGGGCTCCCTAATCGTCAAATTTTGAGGCTTGGTCACACGCGTCAATATTTGACGCTTTGGGTGTGAGAATGTGTTGGATGAGTTGGGTTTTAAATCATGGCAGAATGATCTTTGTGTGTGTGTTCATGATGGAAGAATGTGTAAGAGCCCTTTGCTTATTTAGGACAGTTGAGCTGCTATGTTGTGAATTGTCTTTGCTGGTTTGGTCCACCCCTTGCTCTCTTCTCCAGTACCCCTTCCCCCACGCGCCTTAATTGCTGACCTAACTGCTGTGGATGGAGAGATGACCACCATGTTCTTCATTGTCCTCTGAAACCCAAAAAGACCACTGGCTTTGCCTTTAATGAAACAACTATGCAGGAACGGTCTTAAAAAAACACATTTAGGAAGAGCAGCAGGAATCATCCCCCACCTGTTGGCACATGATTTTGTGGATTCCACATTTTAATAGAAATATTATTTGTTATTTTTATTTGGCCAACTAACTTAATTTGTGCCTTTGAGAGATTTATTAGCTAAAAAAAGTTGTGTTCTATATATAAATATCTATATTGTATATCAGTGGATAAATAAATTAATATCCTGTGAAAGTCTCTCAGTCTTGTGACAAACTTATAGTAAATATTAAACAGTTTAAGGCACTTTTGCCTTGAGGGAAAAAAATTCTGCTTTTTTCCAAATTTGATTAAATCACACACACGCACACATTTCCCAAGATGCTGCTTTAAGTGGACCACAGCATGAGGCCAAAGCTAACCCCACAAATGTCACTAAGAGATGAAAATATTTTTTTGTAATAAACTGAACTTGTTGCATATAATCTATATGATTTATCTTTTTGTGAACAGTTATATATCAAGACTATTTTTATGTCATTTAACCATTACTGCCTTAAATTGTTGTCCTGAAGTGCGCTGTGCAGAGTACAGATGTATTTTTTTTATGTGACGATGATGATGTAAACATGTAAATGATGTTAATTCTCAGTTGACCCTGCTCCTTTTCTTTTAACCACACACTCAGCTTCTCACATGGAACGAGCAAAGATAATGTTCATACATACAAATATGGAGAAAAATAAATGCAAACTACTGCAGAAGTGAGACATCACTCAGGACCACCTCTTTACCAAAAATAAGTTACATCTACACTTACAAACATCTCACTGAATAGTTTGATCAACTTTGATGTCATGACTTGTGATTTTCTTTTTCTTCTATTGTGATTTAGAATTTTTTTTTGACATTTTGTCTTTTTTTATGTCACCCTGAAGACCTTTGTACTGAAGTCTGTGATCCATGCTTGTAGCTTCATCCTGTCAACTAAAGAGATACTCTGAAAGTGTGTGTCAAGCTTCTATCCAAATTACCAAATGAAAATGAATTTACCATTTATTCTATTCATTGAACTGTGTGAGTTGTAACGTTGAAAAAGGCCAACAAGGTTATTTGTCTACAATAACCACCACAGGCCAACTTTAACCGCTGTAAGACGTGCGATCGTCGGGTGACATTAATAGGACATGTAGAATCCTTCGTCGTTGCCCC